ATATATATATAATTCGATTATACATGTTTATAAGCAAGTTTAAGGGGGTACAGTACACTATTGTACCCATATAGGTAGCGTGTCATAAGAGGATTGGCACAGCAGCTGTTTGCACGTACTTATTGCTCGCTGGCTTTCCGTCCCCTATACTCGTCCCTAACGGTTCTAACGGTAAAAAGCAAAAAGATAGCGGTGTCGACCCATCGCCCCAAGGCAACTCGGTCCTGAACCTAGAGAAATTTAAATGATACATGCCAACTGTAATCAACTGTTAAAACTATCGTTGCAAAGCTTTTTTTCTTTTCTATAATGTCAAATAGAGCGTCCGCCAAAGCCAGCTGGCTAAGCGGCACTCGCTTTAAAGAATTTCAATTAAAGCTAAAGGTAAGTCAGATATCTGAAATTTTCTCGATCAATAGATCTGTGAATTGTTTTGGTCTGGTCATGACCTTTGGCTTTTGTCTGTCAGCGGGGTCCATCTCAAAGCAAGAGCAAATTACTGATGTGACACTGCCGTTAATGGCGCAAAAACGCTATTCAAATGTGACCAGCTATAGAGCATTTACAACGAGGATGAACCATTAAGTCGTTGAAGGTATTATTAAGATGAGTGTTTAAACACAGTGCATCTGGTATTCCTGCTGTTTCATACTGCCTGCCCGTGTCTAGTGGACTACTCATGAGCTATCGTATCACAGCTACTTCATCTGATAACGTCATTAGATACAAGGATATCTTTACCTCGTATTTGCACAGGTACTTCAGGTTCGTAAGACGGTTTTATTTCTCAGTAAGATCAATGACAATCTAAAAAAATTACTGATAATTTCATTTTGGCACTTATCTCTACATAAGGTCATATGCATAGATATCTATTCGGGGACAAAATGCGTTAGTAAACGGATAATTAGTGCTTGATCCTTGCTTGTAGTCGTATTATTTATAAGAACTGCAACGTTTTTTCATCAAATTAGTAGAGGCATACTACAAGTTAGTTTCGACAATTCCCGACCGTAAACAAATGCGAGAACTTTGCTTAAAAAGGACACAAGATTAGGCGAAACAAAAAAAATCTTTTCAAAAAAAAAGAAAAAAGCAGTTTTCTTCCTCGCGAATAGTAGATCCACTCGATGAGCAAACCGCTACGAGCATTTGTTCCTACATTTATCTGTCATCGCAGATTGACATCTTGCGCACTGTTCAGTGTGGGCATCTTCTCGGTTCTCCCATTGGTCGGGTCGGGACCCGTCTGGCGCGAGAATGTGCTTAACGCCACTGTTAACTGCCACGCGAACTGGCTGCCCATCCTCTTCTCCGTAAATAATTTTGTATCTGCCGACAAGATGGTAAGAATCGATATCGACTAGAGTTATGCTTGGGTGAGAAATGTCCCAAATCCTGTTGGGGTCTTAGCTATGGTAGTTAATAACGACGGTGGTGCGTCAGTTTTGCTGGTGCTTTAAACAATTCTGACATTCTAAGAAACAGAGCGCTATACAAGGGTGCCAACTCTATGTGATACGCTTTATATTTGAGCATTTTAACGCTAAAGGGGGTCAATGTATTAGCGCGACGGGTGAAGAATGGTCGTAGGGACGAAGCGAAGTTTTGCTAAAGAAAATCGATCGTAACAAAGGATAAGCTCGACAAATTAGAGACTTGGAAAATTTGATGCTGCATTTCACAATCTAGGGCTCTCTATATTATATATTTGTCCATTAGCGTCAGTTTAACAAAAAAAAAGTTAAGAGTAAGTACAGTTTCTTTCTATGATTCTAACTTCCAATTCGTATATATCTTGACCGTAGATCGTAGCTTGTCTTAACAGCAGTAATTGTTCTTCAGTCTCCGACGGCGTTCATGAATATCCGCTACAATATGGCGGTAGCATGCGCTCGTTGGGTGGCGTAGTTAGATCGTTGTATTGCCAAGCTCCTTAATGAACAATTAATTATGTAGGGTGTCGACCTGAAAAGAAAATTAATCTGTTCCTTTGAATCACGATATATATTAATGCATGTTTTTTCTTTAAAACTTTGCCTCAAGTTCAAAACTTACACCCATAGAATCTGAAGGTCCTGAGTTGGCCGTCCAAATAGTAGTAAATATAGATATCTGCCAGAAGCGTATATGAGGTACAGCATTAAATTTTGTTTATATCACACGTCCACCATGTAGAACTCTACAGGGCTATTTTTCTTTTCTTTTTATCGCGCTCCTTTTTTATATATCACGTTCATCGTATATAACAAAATGAGAATTTCGCATAATAAGGGTTCACCGTCCTTTCATCCTGGCGCGTCGTTTAGATCCTTTTGAATGCTCCTTCTTATGAGTTCTGAGATAAACATTATAAACAATCGTTGGAAAAAGAATCGCGGCATAATCCGTACACACGATGTACGTTTCCATCATACGTTAACTAGAATCCAGACGCTGTTTTGAAATACACTTTGGAGCGTCTAGTTTGTAAATAGACTTGAGAAAATGGAGACTGCTGCGTATTTCACTACAATATGCCGCTATCAGTTCATTAAAAAATATATTTGAGTTTTCTTCTCTAAACCTCTGTTGCATTGTGTGACGAGTGTATCTAATGATTCTTCGACTAAGCCTAGACACATGTTCGCCTAAAAACATACACAGAGAGAACAGCTAGCTGGATTCTAGTGAAATATATATACAACCTAAATGTTGTGAGCCTAGGCTTCTAACAATGGTAACAACATAGCCAAGCTTAATCTTAGCAAAGTTTCAACGTCTCGCTAAGAAACAGTGTATAGAAATAGGCACATCAGCTACGTAAAGTACGTAGGACAATGATTCGACAACTTGAATTACGCCATATCACATACAGGCATGTAGCGCTCCCTTCGAAAAAGTGAATTCCTTTCACAGGATAACATCCTAACAGGATAACAACAGGACTCTTTTGCTGGGACTGAAGTAGCTGGCTGCTGATGAAGTTTCGATCGGAAAAATTCAGCGGGCCAAATGATTGGTCAGCGCGTCAAAAGCAGCAAAAAGATGGGCTAAGGAACATTCAGTCGTGCCTTATATCCCGTTCGGCGGTCTGAGCGAAACACTGGAGTGTTCTATCTACACGTATTTTTGCAACCATCAGAAACTCATGTAGCCAGGTTCTGTTTGCTATCTCTGCAGGTAACGTGTTGCGGGCTCAGTCTTCGTTGGATGATCAGCGCGCAGTAATATAATTATGTATTGTACTTCCAATAACTACGATCTGACTTGTCATTGTGTTACCCGCATAATAAACGATACAAATTTAGAAAGTATTTTCGTTCGCTTACAACACGTGACAATTGTAATAATGAAGGAAGGGGCAGATTTTTTTTACAGTTACCAGCACCAGTTATTATCGGCTCTATTGCTTCGCTAGTTTTAAGGTAATACAGTTTATGCGTTGTACAAACAGTAGCAGAAGCTGCAGCCATGTTTGGCCGATCAGTGAATCGTGTTTCCAGTGACACTAGCGGTTATGGCGCTCTTTCTTGTTTTCATCATCATGCGGCTGCTAAATGTTCCTTCGGCGCAACGAAGAGCTCCGTTGACGGACTGTTATATGGCTGCCACCCATGACGATGATGAAGCAGATCTCCTCGAGAACATCAAAGGAAGAAGTTTACGAATCTGTTTGGCGCGCTGGTTTGTCGGACTGGACATTATATGACGTATCCAGCGATAAGAGGACTTCTTGGTCTGCGGCGGCTATCTTGTAATGCGCAATACCAGTTTATTTCCTTATCCTGCCGTATAATTACATTGCAGGAAAGCTCAAAGGCAAATTGCCGATTCATGGCTTTAACGGATGAGGACCTTTGTTAGAATACATGAACTACTTAGTCGCACGCGGTGATTTAGCGCGCATCGTTGGCCACAGGGCCTGTGCGCTAAATCATTGGGCGGGTCTACGAGAATTGAACGCCGTGTAGGCTTAAAACACTTTATTTCTTTGGAAACAACGTATAATTACGCACAAAGACGCCAGTTAGCTATCTTGGCGCTGCATTGATCATCATTTAATTATCGCCTGCAGACCACTGTCTAAAGCCCAAAGTGGAAGATCGAATAAATCACTTGTTACTACAGCTTTATAGAACTTAGAGTAATAACCCTATATTTGGCTATATGTATTTCGCTTCTGATTTAGAGACAGTCGAGAAGCCTCTGTTGTGGTATTACATGGCATTAGTTTCCTTAGAGTCACGAATCTGACCAACGACTAACCTGCAAAAATGCGTTGAAGGTGAGGAAAGCAGCGGAAACGAAAGCTCGATATCGTGCATAGTACTTGCGTATCACTCAAGATTTATTTTTTCTGGAATATGATAGCTCTTTTAACATATCGTGATCTGCGTATAAGATGGACATATGAAATCGGCCTTAGGACAAAGGATCACAAATAGATTATCTTACTTTGCTAGTGCCGGCATCATTAGGAAGCTGAGACAATGGCTAATGTATCTAAGCGCATCCACACACTTAAGTGATACCTTAATTGATTGAATTGATATTTTATAAACTAAACACACGCACGTAACAGAAATACTTGTGGATTTCTATCTAGATTCTAAAAGAGTTAGATCTGTATCTAGCAAGCATATATATGTATAGATGTTGTCTGTTTGCAGATATAATAAGATAATAGTTGTTATACATTGGTTATGTTTATCTTGACGGCTAAAGTAGTGTATATTTATTTATACGTGGAACATTTCCAGTGTACCCCAAACTTGTGGTTTCTCAGCGCCGATTGGCAGCTCCAGGTCGTCCTGTTAGTACTTGTTGTTCTACTTGTCAAGTACGTTGTTTCTTTATGCACACCTACTTATGCAGCTGGCTATAAAAATTGTTCATTTGATTTAGAATGGCGCCATATCCATGTAATTGCGTTTAATGTTTCCCAAAAAAATTTCGAAATATTGCCTCTTCGAAGCTTGCTCAAGAACCTGAAAACTAATAAACTAAATATGCGTGTATATACCTAATGAAAATTATTACAAGATGTCGCCCAGTTTTTGCCAAGATTCAGGTATTGTTATCCTTGCGAGTTGGTCTGTAAATGGAGCGTGAATTTACTTGCGTTAGTATTTTTTGCTATATAGCTAATTATTAAGAAATATAAATTTCTTAATTATTTACCGTTTTGCATCTATATACATCCAATATGTGATAAAGTGTTAATAGACACATTGCTACTAAGCGTAATCTTTAGCAAATTTCAGTAAGTATATCGTCTACCTTGTCATACCCTAGCATCCTCACATTAACATTTGAAGGACAGTGGTCCATGAGGGACGACAACTATAGACGTTATTTCTTGTGGCGCCTAAATTACGAAGCGGTAACTCTATCAAAAAATCATTGGAAAATAATGATCAGGCAACTGTTTTATGCATCTAGCAAACTGATTTAGAAATGAGTAAATTTCGACTAATTCACAGATAGCAGAAATGACAACGACTAAACAACAGGTCATTTGAACCTTGAAATAGGATCAGGTTGGTTTTGCCTTCTTCACTACCTACCAAAAGGCTTTTCCTAAATTTTGCCAAACAGGAAACCTGCAATGGGCGCTCTGGTAGCATTTGCTGTTATAGTCGTTACTTCGTCCTTGGTCGGAGCTCACACTGTCCTAGCTAACTATCCGGCGACGATACTTCCACTTGAAAATCCACGCGTCATGGCTCTGATGATGGATGATATTTTTATGCAAGCACACACACACGCTGCTCCCTTTACTGTTGGCATCTGCACGGGGTATCTGATTGGCGCCAGTCCTTTTATGAGGTTGAGGCCGGTGGGTGATGTAGCATATCTTAATAGGTATCTACGCAAAATAACGTTGGTGACTGGCGTAACAAAAATGCCTGCTAATTATACTATGACCTCGTTATGAATACACACGTGTGTTTAGTATTTTATTTATTTCATTCATTAGATTATTTCATAGTGTTGTAAGTCTTTCCACGGCCGGTGTACCGTACCGAAGATGTCTTGCATAAACTAAGCGCATCATGTAAATTTTACCCTGTCGTGATTTTTTGTCGTGGTGCAGGTGACCCGTTTGATGTTATGGCCGGTCTCGCTCGTTTTGATGGTCTTGGCTCTACTGATCCCGTGGCTCTGGAACCGTGGTAACGGATCGCAGTCCACAGACCTGGTCAAATTCCTTTATGCTGCAGGACACCGTTCGATGTGGGCATTGGGCCTTATGTGGATAGTGGTATGTTGTGCTTCCGGCAATGCTCCGATTCTCGATCGCCTGCTTGGCTGGCCTGCCCTGCGGCCCCTATCGCGACTTAGCCTAAGCGCTTATCTCCTTAGTCCAGTAATCATCTACTATCAGCAGTGGACTATTCGCGAGCGTCTTTACGGGCGCCATTTCACAGTGGTGAGTGGCGGTGTATTTTGCATTTGTTCCCTCAATCAGCAACGGATACTAGATACCATAAGGCTGATGCCTTAGCATCTCGACGTAACGTTCTACTTGCAACTTTATGTTTTACTCTTTTACGTATAATCTCTATTTAGTCCTCTTTTCTCACCCAGTGACCATAGGACAGAAGAGTGGCTATCGTGTCGGTTTCCCATTATGATACAGATCGTTGATTTCACTCATAAATTCTAGCGTTTCGACATAGCGTACAATGTATTTTATGCAACTCTGATCATTTACATTCATGTAATTGCGTTACAGTTAAACCTGTTTATTGTCAATATGATTTACCTCGTCTTTGCCTCGGCAATATTCTACTTGTTTGTGGAACAGCCGTTGCGCCAGTTCTCCAAGTCAACCTTTGAGAGCATGTTTGATTCGAACGCCGCTCGTGGATCGCTAGAAGATGGAGGGCCCGTTCGATTCAACGACTCGATATCGCATCAAGAACCACTGGAGGTACAGAGCAAACCTGGCAAAATCATCAAAGTTTACCTCTGACAGCGTTCGAGACTACATGGGTATTGATAGCGTGAAAAGAGCGTTTGGCCTAAATTTTCGCTTTAGGAAATCCGATGTGGCATGAGCGTAGATAACAGAGAATATGACTGCGTGAGATTTTACAATCGACCTGCTAACGCCCAAAGAACCTGATTAAATATTCCAACTGGGAGATATCTTGCCCATCCAGGGCGAATGATCTCTTTTACAACGCCGATGTGCACCTTTCAACTTTATATTGTACTGCATATTGATCTTGCTATACCTATCTGAATTTGTTTAATCGTTTCGACTCATAACGGTGGACTAGTAGATACAATCTAGATAAAATAAACAACTGTCGTACTACACGTATTATCGTTGTTATTATCACACACCACGGAGATCTTCGCCAACTTACATCCTACGTACATATATTTATATACGTACCCTTCTTTATCTCCAGTAAACACTGCTTCGACAACGCTTCCGTACTTTATAACAATGTTTATAATTTCGCCGTTACGTTTAATCTGTCCATTACAAATCGTTGTCATCGTATTCTTTGGCGGTGCAAAGTACATGAAGTTGTTGTTTTTGACAAAAACACTTCGCCATCTGCATCAGTTACATATTCAAGCGTTATACACAAGCACATCGATTAAATAAGCGTTGTCAAAGAAGTAGATGAGTTGTCTTTGTTATGAAGACCTTTCTGTTCAACAGGAAGCCTGTCTTCATTCTTTTTTGTCCGCTTCATCCCCCTTCTTAATACCTGTGTATAATAAGTACACTAGTCAAGACTACGCTGTACCAAATTCCCTGCAAGTTCGAAACGCTAGTGGAATACTTGGGGAAGTAGCGCATATTGTTTCAATGGAAACTCGAAGAAAAGCCGCAGGTACCGGAAAAGACTGTCCTGACGTGCTAACTTTCCATTTACATCTAGATACTTAGAATGTGTTGTTCTAAGCAAGATGAAGTAACGTACTCAGAAGTACGACAAGACGTTTTTTCGCAATGAACGCATCGTTCTGCGTTCTTCATGTCTGTTATAGCTTTATCGATCCAAGGCTGCGCCCGAAGCGACGACATACGTTGAGCTACTTACTCCTATGCATTTCGTGTGCGTCTGGCAATTTAGCTAAATGATGCGCATTCAAGCTTGAGTTGTAAAAGCTTATATGAAGATCAGCATGATTTGTCGGTGGTTACCTTTTACCCCTGAAGGCACAATCGACTTCCCGCGGAAACAGTCGTTTCTATGAAAGACCATTGCTACCAGATTCATCAGCAGGTTTTTAGCATACCAATTGTCAAAATAAAGCTAACTTGTTGCATTTTTCCTATGCGCAAAAGAACACAGTAGGCTATCGCTAAGTAGAGTTGCCAATTTCATCAATCGTAAGTTCTGAAACTTAAAAAATACAGCTTTGAACCCCAAAGGTATTTATGTGAACGTATGACGAGTACAAGTCACGTAACGTAAAGGTATTCGTATCCGAACCACCTTACATAATACGCTCTTAACTAAAAAGCTATTTTTGCAAAGATCGTAGTTCAGATATTTGTTCAATCCTTAGTTCTCCGTACTGTATAGGACTGCATCAGAAGCAAAACTTTCGGGTAGTTCAGATAAACAAATCCGAAATCAGATGTTAAGGATTCAGAATTACATTTCATACTACTTCAAACTGAAACTTCAACGTGAAAAATGGTCCTCGTAGTGGTTGACAGATTTGGGAAAACGTAGATATAGATCAACTTATCACAGAATCTAAACGAGACCAATTTGAAACTAGTCGTGATATCACTAAAGAATAAAACGTCTACCACCATAGTTTTTAACGGTTTGAGGAAAACTGGCATTAAAAAAAAACTCGGATGTTTGGGTGGCACACGGATTAACGCAACGGTATTTACTCAGTCGTAGTTCTGCCTAAGGAACTTTACTCTCGTTTTGTCTCGTTGCAACGAGAGAGACTGAGCTATTTATTCCGAAAGGGTTGTCACGGATGATAATGAAAAACAAAAAAAAAAAAAAACTAAAAAGATGCGCTTTATTTGTGGTAAAGCTCAGACTGGTCCTAAATGATGTGATACTTTGTGTTTAGTGGCAATGGAATCGTGCATTATAAGTTGCTGCCGCCTGGAAGAACGATTGTCAACAGCTGAGAGTATTATATAGCATGCCATTGAAAAATAGATCGTAATTAGTGAGCGAAAAAGGCCGTATCTTCCACCTGGAATACCAATGCTTCAAGAATTGTCTTATTTCAACTTATCCGCCGTATATAGTTTGGATTATGCACTTTTCTCTTCCCATTAAATTTTTATCCAACGCCCCAAGCAAAAACTCGGAACGGCATTGAGAACCATGATGCAGTTTTTTTTTTTTAACATAATGATAATTTTTTCGTGCGATTCGTCGTGGAAGTGCTTGAAGCCTGTAAAACGAGTGGCCTATACGTTAGTCCTTGGCCAATGTATTACCTGTAGGGTCCTTACCCCGTTATTACAATATCAATTTTATTTTCCGTATTCGTCGCTGAAACGTAAACGCTATCTCATGGTTTCATTTGATTCAAAATTTCATTAAGTGTCTTTTGTCTCGATTAAGTGTCTTTTGCCCATAGAAATACTACGATCGACTGTGCCAACGCGATCTCGTTTATATACTGTTACTGTATTTGCTTGTGCCATGTAACAAACCCTGTCTATAACCACTCCACTGCTGTATATTTTTTACTGGCTGCATTTTGATGTGTCCATTAACGCGTATTATCAAACGTTTAAATGAAATACCTACGGCGCGTACAAAAGCACGTACTCATGCAGACACGCAAGGGGGAGCGACGCCCCTTGTAGTCATTTTATCACTAGTTCAGCGGAGGCGGCGTCGAATGAAGATGAAGATGAAGATCACAAATGGAGGGCGCAACACGTACAATCGAATTTCCGCTTTACTACCGTTTGTGCTAACATGTTATTTATGTCGTTATCGTACGTTATTGAAAAATCTTAATTTGAGAGAGGATAAATTCATTCAAAAGCCAGGGCTACTGGCTTTGCCACGGACCTAATAACTCTTCATAGGCATTAATATATAAATCCTGCTTAGACTCATCGTGCAATCTGAGTCGCAATCCTTGTAAAGTAATCGGAAAAATACGTCCTTCTTGAAAAGGACTCATCAAGGGACATTTCGAATATCTATCCTTGTCTTCCACGTAGAAGTTGCTAGTTAATTACATCAGTGCTATGCTTTATCACTGTTGGACCAATCGTTCGCTACCTTTTCCAACTCAAAAACGAATATATTGGTATGCATGAGCCGATAGGGATGCTCCAACAATATATACTTTATGCCAAATAACTTGACCGTTACTATACGGTAAGTAAAGAGGATGTGTTTATATAGGTTGTACAGTTCTACTTTTTCTACTACTCTTTCTTAGGAGCTGCGGGGGCCTGAAGTTCTTTGAACCTCATATCCATCCATTCGAAAAGATCCTTCAGCAGGCGCTCGCGGATTCCGCTAGAAAATTCGTGAAGAAGACAATGCGCTCCGTTTTCATATATCTGCAAATATTGGCAATTGATGAAGTTTAGCGCCACGACTCGAATTGCGCATTTCCTACAATTTTGTATTTTAAAGAATTGATCTCGGCGGAACTTCTCGGCCGGAGCATTCCTTAAGACTTAAAAAGGAGGTCTTTTAATTTACATGTCGCCTTTGCGAACGACAGAAAGCTTTCGTACGTTAAGTGTCATATAAAATAGCGTTCCTAACAATGTTCCACCTAAAGGAAGAAATCGGCTCCTGTTTTTTTTTTTTACCTTACAGATCTTGACTTTAGCTGGCGCATCCTCAGCGAACTTTCGTGACGCTTTGACACAGCATAATTTATCGGCGCTACCATGTGATATAAAGAAAGGCGTTTCAAAGGACTTCACTCCTTTGTGGATTTCCTGTAATGGTGGGCAGTGATGGCGCGCAACAATTTATTAATTATTATTACAATTAAGCCGCCCCTACATATTCAGATACAGTTTCAGTGACAACTTTCAGCTTTCACAAATACGAATATTCTACGATTTGGCACCTCTAACACTCCTGTCTAGATACATTTATCCCTCCATATCGTCCTTCTTTGATCAATTAAAAAATCTCTATCATATAGCTTAGAAGTTGAAAGAAGAGAAACGCAACCTAATGATCGCCGCTTTGTTTATATATATATATATATATATATATATATATATATATATATATATATATATATATATATTCTTAACTTGATTATAAACAAGCGAATACCATCATCTAGGCGAATGCACGAAGAAAGCTATTGCTCAGCAAAGTTTTACTAAAAATAATGTTGACATACGAACTTTCTCTACTGATGAATCTTGAACAAAGGTATTTTCTTAGAATTATGAACGCGATAAGAAGAAAGACCATCATCGACTAACTTACGTCAATAGCATCGAGCATGGCACAAGCCGTGCCCATATGAATCCAGCCGTGATATCTCAAAGGGTCTCTGTTAAATTCTTCGGCCACGGAAGGTTCCGATACGCAGTCTTCAAATGGCAACTGGGTGACGGGTACCCAGCTAGGTAGGATAGGTCGGACTATTTTAGTTATATACTGTTTTGCCTGCAGCACCAAAGACGCCTGGCTGAAAGGTAAGCCAGAGCATAAAACAATTTAACCTTCAAGTTTTATGATGATAAGTACAAGATCATTAGTGGTATCTCGTTATAATAGTTCGTCTATAGTAGAACATGGCAGTTTAGTTTCTCAGTTCTAAGCGCCTACCCCCCAGTGGAACTTAAGTATAGGAATAGGGCGGAAAATAGGTAGAAGGTATTAGACCCCACATTTCTATTATTTTGAAAAAAAAAATTGAAACTTTAGGCCATATTCTTAGCTAGTTAAAAGTTATACTCCATTCCATGTAGTAATGAGTTTTTTGTAAGTAAGAATGACATTTATACGAAGAAAGTTGCATTATGTCATTGTATATACGACATGACACGTACGTATGACTTATGTATTGGGCCAATAGCGTGAACGCGTTGTTTATAACGTGTTTGCGCATTCGAAACAATCTGCGCGTCCTGTGTTCCTTCGTCCTTCACACATCCATTCATTCATTCATTCATCCATACATCGCATTGGGGCGCAGAAATCAGTATGAGACGGCTTTTATTTCCGCTTAGCTGTCTCTAGCCAAATTGATTGCCTGGCCTTCAAAAGTTCTTGCGTTGTTCCGCTGGCTTTCTGTATTGACTTCGACCGCTGGCCCCTTTCGAGAACAAGCCAACGGATCAACCAAGTCGAGACTTATATTCTGCGTGGCTTCGTCTGCTACGCACTCGCGGAACAAACGCTATCAGTAGGTCGCCAATCTTTCCGCTTTGTCATGCGATAGACGGTGTCTTCTTTTAATGAATTGCTGGGAACTCGAGAAACAAACCGGTAAACATTTTGCTCTATAATTTTATATAGAGGCCTTTGTAAATCATCGTTTCGAGTTCAGGGCTAATATTATGCGTGGCAAATGTATCGCAGCCCCCAAAGCCATTGCGAGGAATGCAGTTAACAACTATGATGCGTAAAAGTATGCCCCTCTTTACTTTTTAATTGTATACCGTATGCCACATAGTGCTTGTTCTACGTGCTATACACTTCCTAAGAGTTCACAATTAAATTTGTGCTTGCCATTTTTGCGCCATGACGCAGGCCGATCAACTTCGTCATCAACCTTGAATTTTGTTATATGGAAAAATGCTATGCCTCTGACCGCAGAGCGGAAGCATTTTCACGTGTTCTGAACAACTGCAAAAAGCGGGTCCTTCTCTCGTTGAGCTTCGTAAAACCAAAGGACAGGATCAAGCGGCAGTGCGCAACGCCATCCCGAACCCTACAGAGGGCATTACTAGACTGGCATGACGCAGTTCTCTTGAATCGTTCAGAGACTGGTGTTGACCGTGAGGGTTAAGACGGACGATGCGATCTTTTTCCATATGAGAAAAAAAGGCCCACTCTGAAAAAATTACACCAAGCCACACATCTTTGTTCCCCAAAAACTCTTCCCTGACATGAAAACAACCACTTCGCTAAGTTTCAAACTAGCGCTTTCAACTTTAAAGTTTCTAAATGCCCATGTTCCGATTAGCACGAAAGTGTAATGAACGAATGAACAATCCACTGGAGTAAGTTGTACAAATAGCTTGATGAGGATTCAATTCGATCCGGTTATAGATATTGCAATTTTCGCTGAGTGGGAGCCTTGGAAGGGCTTACAGACTCCTGCGTCCTATAGGTTTAAACAACTTGAACCTTAAGCTGAAAGAATATCTCCATTGTCGGATTAAAAGGTATGCAAGCATTGCTAAAATAAGGTTGGGCAGTTGGTCACCCGTTTTGCAGCGCAAGTTAAATACCTGAGGCTTATAAGTGGGCCCATTAGCATCAGCCCTCCACGAAGTCCTCCCGGATATCGCTGGTCGACCTGACGTCGAATCATATACAACAGTGATACGGCTCCCCCCATCGAGTGGGCAAATACGAACAACGGCAGTTTTTCCTGATTCGTGTGATATTTCTTGTAGACCTCATCGATGTGCATTGCCATATCCTGCTCAAGGATATTTAGAGACTCCATGTAACAACGGGGCTCCCCTGAACTTCTACCATGGCCGACTGCATCCACAATAGACAGGGTCATGAGAATAAATTCATATTAATTCGTGCAAAGCACGTATCAATGTAAATATATGTATTGCCAGTGATTATTGGTTGTCTGAAATAAACAAATGACCATGTCAGTCAGGAAAACGATACTAACCGTGATCGTGGCCAAACACGATGGCATCGTATTTTTGAGCGAAAAGTTTCGCTAACTCATCATACACCATGATATGTTCACCTAGGCCATGGCAGATATACAGCATGCATCTGTAATTCACAGGAAAAGGAAGTCAGGGGGGATTGTTACCAATCGAAATTGCATAAGGAGCTCCCCTCATACATATCTGCCTTGACGATATATATATATCTGCTTACCTATGGTACTACCTACTTATATGGGTCCGCACAATGTGAACGCAGAAATTTTTGCCTTCTGTAGGTGGTCCTCTGTTTATGAACTGATATGATACTGGCCCATTGTGTAACATTGCAAATGAACTAGGCCACTCAACCGAATGCGCCTTTTGTTCGCTACTTGGCTGTTTCTTACAACGAATCCCAATCCGCATGAAGAAGCGCATTGGGCGATCGTACTGTTATTATTGAATCAATATATATGTACTCTCGTATGCGCTTTATTGTGTATACCTTTGAATAAATTTTGAAACAAAAATACAAAAAAAAAAAACAAAAATAAAGGTCAAACATGTTGTCAGTTATTTAATTTGATAATAAGGACATATATGTATGAGTTAAGCGAAGTGCGCCGTGAGAGATATTGAGAGAAAAAAAAAGAAGTAACGGTTGTGTCTTTCTCAGACTTTGTGCTTTATTTTTAATATTAATGTGACTAGCAATTCGTTGAAGGATTTGACGCTGTAGCGAGTCCAGCTTGTTGTATCGTAATCCAGCGCACTAAAGAACATGTTAATTACTGCTCCAGATATAGGCATATTATAAGTGATATTGAAAAGCATAATATTTAAGATTCATTTACGCGGATAGCCATCTTACTCTACTTAACAAACAAAGTCCTCTAAAGGTGACGGGAAAAAAGACAGGAAGTTCCCGACCCGAAACAAACACAAAATGTTACAGTCCTGCTGTCAACTTGATAATAGGTCTGGCGAATCTTATATGTGTTATCTAAGATCGATTGTAAAGCATTAAAATCATCAACCGGAATGTTTTTTTTAGTGAAAGTAACGATGACCCCTTCCCAAAATGTGATTATAAACATTAGTGCATGCAGCCCTTTCTGATTATTTTGTCTTTTCCTATTCGCTTCCGACCCTTACGCGGTCCTAGCTCGGTGTATTAAGCAATCTCAATTCCGTTGTCAACAGAATAATCAGCAGGAACAGCATTCCTCCTCTTTCTACAGCGCTCCAATTTTTTTTATCCTTTCCCAGCGTTTATGTGAGGTAGCCAAGTGTAGTCTCTCCAACGATGCCGAGGAATACGAACTTTCATAATAAAAGCGTACTTGCGCTCGAAGGCCGCGCTTAACCACGGTCGGCTACCTATCATTCTTCCCTAGAGTGCCCTGCTCTGAGTCTTCACAAGCGCCTGCCAACAACAACCGACCTCTTGCCCTCTAACTCAACCGCGAAAGCTCCGTACTATCCACCTTTCTGGCGTTGGCCGATGTTTCTGCTACCGCTGCTTCTGCCGCTACATCTCCCTATATACGATCCCTTTTTTTTTTCTATTTTTCATGGGTATTAACCCTTCATCCCAGCATCTTTCCTGACTTTCGTTCATAATCTGCAGTCGCTTTCGACAGCCACGCTTCAGATGTTGGCGGCTACTAGGATTTTTGCCTGCCCTGTTCATTTCATCCCTCCATGCCACTCTGTGCTGCGATCCTCTTTTCAGTTTTGTTGCCCTATTTTTCTTCTTCATACTTTGCCCCCGCGCTACCCTCTTGTGCTCTTCCCTTCCATATATTCATGTCGCTTAAACATTTTGCTCGCTCTGTTGGCCGCGACGACCTTTTGCTAGTAAACTATCCAAACATCCCCGAACATCTATGGTGTAGGCATCAGCGCCTGTATGCTTCCCACAACCAGTTTAGACGCCTACCCGTTCTCGCCCCCTGTTTTTACCATCGTTACAATCTTCTCACCGTCAAACAGTAAGCAAACAGCGGAACACAATCTTCTCCGTCCAACATATATATATATATATATATATATATTTAGACGGAAAATACGAGGGTCAGTTGGCGTAGCCGTTATCTCTCGTTTTTGGTGTCTTTGTATGTAAAGACATTTCTTTCTAAGGTGCATCGCACTAGCGCTTTTCTCTGCTTTTCATCCTATTGTATGTTTTTCATCACCATCACTTCTGTTACTACTACTACTACTACTACTTTTACTGTGAACAGAATGGTCCTGCCTTCCCCACCGCCTTTCTTCGCTGCTTGCCGACTCCTTAGACGATGTCGTGTTTCTTCCGGTGCCTGTTTTGTCCTACGGAACTGTCGACACCCTTCAAACTGGCCATCACCTTAGCGCTGTCTGTTCCTCCGACCCGTTTAGCACAGAACTCGAACAAAGCGGCTGACAGTATCGCGCAGACGGAACACAGCAGCGGTCGCAGTAGAACGTAGATTACGACTAAGATGAGACAAAATGACAGCGAAAACTAGATAGGGTTTCGAGGGTGGGCGGCCGCGTTGGAAATAAGTCTGGTAGAGCAGATCACCAACATAAAAAGAAACAAAAACCGGCGAAGAAGAATCTGGAAAGCGTAGATACACTTTATGGTCTGTAGTGCGAGGAGCATTGTGGTGGCAGCTGCTTTGATCACCCGTGAAAAATCAACGCTATGACTAAATTCGTTATATCGATTTACTGTATAGGAAGGTGCCTTAGCTGGACCTGGCTCAACTAATGCGCAAGTCAGCTATCTGAATAGGGCTATTGAATATATTTACTTTTAAATTAAAAGGCAATAGATGATCTTAAACGAAATGTTCCGAACCTTACGCCCGTTAATGCTGATAGGTATTGTTTCCGACGGCTTGCTTTCAGTGCCAGTGTTCGATCCTTGCCTATCTATGTTTCGTTATGAATACCCCTTTTTGTAGCTTGAAAGCTTTGCCTAAAGAAAGCTTACCTAGAAGTGAAAGATCTTTTAGCTTCTTATCTATCAACACCATCTATTAACACCACAATTTGTTCTCCGTCTAAGTTAATGCCTTCGCGCTACAGTTCAGCGATAATGTTGATTCCCTCATAATATTTATAGTTATGCCTATGCAGCCTACTCTCTATTTAGTAATAATAAGACAGAACAATGGCCGGGCATAGTACCACAGCTTAATTATTCCGATCGGTCCCCTCGGAAATACACCGCCGGAACGCTGGATATAATATTATTTGCAGATATAAATGGATCGGGTTCGGTTGTTGCTGTGTGTCCTTTATCATATGCTGTCGGGTCTCCGACTACCGATTTATCCATTAGTCGGCATATATGTATAATAGGACTACCTGGTCGTATTGTTGCCGTTTTTATGACAGTCTGTCAATACCCCCATGGGCCTTACTTTCAGACTGGCCGTGTTGAGTCTCGCAAAGCAGCGCTATCGTAGTTAATGTACATCGCAGCTGCGTAAGTTTTTATATTCGTTTAGTTAGTTTAACTATGTCAGCTGGTATAATTTACCCATTCCAGCTATGCTTAGTTCAAAACACAGAACAGAAATTGGCTAAAATATCTCACTGTTATAGAAGCTGTTGATGATCTAGATTCATTGTAATTTTATAGATGTTTTCTACATTTTCGTGCCTAGAAGACTTCTTTCAAGCACCTTATAACACAAATTTGATATCGGTCAAAAGGAGCTAAGCGATCAAAACATGTAAAATTTTTTTAGTGAACCCCAGACCGCCTTCCTCTGTGCTATATATGTATAGGAACCTGCTATCAGTTAGAGTGAAGGATAATTCGGTAATCGTAAAACGCGGGGGCCACCAACAGACATGATTTATATTTATTTTAAAACTGTTTAATTGCCAAAAAGCAGAAAGCATGCCTGCGAGTACTAGTCGTGACCGTGTACCTCACGAGGTCACGCAATTTTTACAGGTTTTCTTTGGTACAATTTTTATATATAGCAGATACGTTTCAGAATACAAATATATAGCCTAAAGCGTAGTTCTAAGCGTAAGCTACGTATCCCTTGATGTAAACCGTAGTTTATAATAATTTCGGTATAAAGTGCTGGCTTAGCATCGTAAATAAGTTACGAATATATCAGTAGGAAGGTACACGTTCTCATAGACGTTAATCTCACACACGTATTATATCCATAGTTTTCTTTTATCTCAATTATATCAGAGCCTGCACCACTTTTCGCATACATGCACCCGCTAGTTGGATTGATGGTTGAGCTTTCGTTAAAAAAAAAAGACCATTTATCCTCCTCGCATGCGCCTCGACACTGTGGATAAACGTTAACTTTGTATCGGCTAAGCGACGACCTTACCATAAATTGACGATATATATATTGTCCTAAGATATGGAAGTAAGGCCATCCGAGCTAACACTACATGCAGGAAGAAACGGAAGCTAAAATGCACATTGTGTTTTCTTTTAAATGTATTAGGCCTTCGTCCACCCAGCAAGGAGCGGGTTAGTGTTAGCGCATGGTCCGGCAAGCACCTACCCCTCTTGCCGGATTGGAATTGTCTGTCGATTATTGCTCAGGCGCTGGCGTTTGCCTTCCTTACCTTAAATGTAAACTGTTTCGTTCATCTTCAACTTTGTGTTTGCCCGCTATGATTTTCCTTCTGCTGGCCATTGTTTAGCCTAGCTCAGTCTGTACCTAACCGTATTCTAGCCTGGTTCCGTTGGCTGCCTGATTGGCTACCTAGGCTACGTTTCAATCCGCCACCCGCCGCTGTACTCCACAGCAGGACGAAGACGAAGCCTGCACTGTCTTTAAATTAGCAGCAAAAACGTCAATTCGATCAGAACGATCTTCCGTCGACGAAATCGTTATAGAGAATCTGTCTGTGTGAGGGGCACGGCCAGATAGGACAGAGTTATTTCGCTGGTAGCTTAGAGAACAGTAATTTAAGGGATGTTCTGGTATTACGGCTTTATCGGGATAGGTAGGGACTTGTTCGGTGTTGCCGAAACAGCTCAAGAAGCGAAAAGTACGAACTTTTTGAGAAAGAGGACGGAAATCAGAGACAGTTCATATCGTCTCAACGTTATGGAACGATCGGCTGGTGCAAAAAGCACGACTACAATTTCTCAACAAGAGTCAGATCTGTGTGGTGGTTGTAGCATAGCCGAAACGGTGCTAGAACTCAACGATCTGACACCCAGAAGACGACAATGCGTCGTGCTCTTTCTCCGTTCTGTTAGCTGGTATAATTTCCTTGTTACTTAAGTCTATTGTCATTTACCGCGAAGGGAATAACGTGTTAGGGGGATGGTTCTGATCGCGTCTCGCCAAGCAGAACGATCTCGGAAGCCCCAAGTGCTTAATGGTTTTAAAATATACCGGAGTAGCTTATTGATAGAGTGATGTTTTAAGAAATTCGAGTGCTTACGTGACAGTCACGGCGATTTGTTTACCGTTTGTCGCTACTAGGCAGAGTACGTCCATGTATTCAGCAATAGCAGCGGCGGCAAAAAGTTTGGATACTACATGGAGACGCCGGGGCCAGTTGGTGACCGCCTGATTTAACGGTTGACTTCGTATGCAGTTCTCGCAAAACCATGGAAATGACCTTGTGGGAATAGCTATCCGGTTATCCTATTTTTTTTTTGTTTTACGATCCTATCCTTTTGGTCTCCCATTCGACCGTCGCTGACATACACACACAACGAAGAATCATTCCGCCTTCTGGCTACTCCATGTTCAATTGATATTGATTACGCTCTAGATTTAAACACGTAGAGTAAATGTCTTCGTATGGAGTACTCTTTACGCGAACGACAGACGGCGATACCACAGAGTGGTGTAGGTAAAAATTTCGTTCGTAATATTTAATGGAATCCCATTAGTTTTGGCAAGCTCGGAACGCCAATCCAAAACTAGGCGTATTGCATACATCCTGGTGGTATATATATAATAGAACTTATCGGATTGTACAGCTTCCTCAGAAGCTAACCATCCACCAACCTTTAAAGCATGTTAAAGGGAGGTAGAAAAAACAAAAACTGCAAATAATTCAGCGAAGTTGGTTGAATAGGCTAGGTGCTGAAATTAGTGCGACCTTTCTCTATAAATCTTCTAATAGGTTTCTATTGGAACAGTCGAGGGAGGTATGGGCAGGCATCCCTTGCATTACTTCACATGCGAACAACCTTCAGCACATTTAAGGCCACAACCTAACGTTACTGCAGCAATATTCAGGGTGAAATGAGATGCTTTCTTTAAGGTTCTGTACGCACCTGTAGTTCAGAGAATAAGGAATTTGTTAACCAAAAAATCACGCCACTGAGATAGATGCCATAGTGCGATTTTGTCAATTGGTACCCCTTGACTTTTACTACTATTGCGAGCCGGAATTTCAATGAAAACTCTGGAAAAAAACTTGAAAAATCTATGCTAAAAGACTCGATTCCAACAGTGGCGCTACTATACTGAATAAAAAACAGGTTGACAAGGAAATATCAAATGATGAGATTCGAATTTAGCAAAACCAGCAACAACTACGACGACAATATCATACGATATCAATGACCGAAAACAACAATTAGATCTGTCCTGCGCAAGAACATCACTCGCAAGAAACTGTAAAAAAAAAAAAAATTACAAAATTCATTATTATTAAAATAAATACTGCTAATATATGGGTATATAACTAATATATTGTACCGCTTGATCGTCTAATGTAAAGAGTCCAAATGGTTGCCATCTATCTTTCCCGGACGTACCGTTCGTTATAGCATTACGGGTATACACATACAGGCTTAAAATAATATTACTGGATATTTACTCAAGCAAAGCAAATTTCATAGGGCTGTAAAGCCTCGATGATTTTTCTTTTCATAACCTTTGTACACCATAATGACAATGTCGTTGATATTATCGACTACTAGATACACACTCTGGCCAATCGTCAATTACGTCATCATTTCGAACATTTCTTAACGATCGTAAACGACTATCGGTGTCGATCTGCACAACAGCATAAAACAACTCATCCTATTCCACTCCAGCTATTATAAGCTTAAACGAATATCATCCATATATCCAACAATAATTGTCGTAACTTAGCAAATACGACATCAGTTAAGTCAGATACGTAAAGTATATATAAAGTATTTGTTATTATTAAAAATCCACACTTTTTTACTAAGTCAGATTTGTTGCACTTTCTCTGCACCCCGGCCGGCTGTGGACACCCAAAACGGAGACCCAGACCGCGTCTATATGGTAGTCGTAGCGATAATTTACCGTTTTATGTTATCGTACGCCAAGTTTGCTTACACAGTGATTCAAAGGTCGGAGCCCTAGTTTTTGTTTAGTTTGAATGCCCACACACAGCGTCGCCCTCGTACCCTGTGATCTATTCGACAGTGTTTAACCTCTATATAAGCGTCTTTGCCGCTTCATTCTTTTCTGCGGTATTAAAAAAAAAAAAAAGAGGAAAATTACAGTATTAGAGTAGGAACGTTAGATCAACCTTCCTAAAATTCGAGATAGATAATCTCGAATTTCTAGAGGAGAGCTCAAAATCAGATACGCATTGGCAATAGGCAATCGTAGGTGCTTACCTCGCCTTTTCGATATTATTCGGCTTCCATTGTTTACACCAAATGGTCCGTTTTTTGTCCTCGCTGTGCAGTTGGTAACTATCTTCAACAGGGGGTGGAGGCACATCCTCTAGCCGAGGAGACACCTTATTACCCATATACGCCACTGAAACATAGCACCATTAAGTTAGGTGAGCTTTTATAGCTGTGGTATCGAAATTCTACAATACTTTTCGTTATCTCATTATCGACGCGCCCTGTGACAAACTGTAGGCGCATTGTATAGCGTTGAATGTGAAAGGAATTACGAAACAGCATGTTTCGGAACGGCTCCACGGTACAGTGTCTTCCAGTAATCCATGAACTGGGGATTATTGTGTAATGATATAATATTGCACGCTTTAATGCTAGGAGTGAAAATAGTAGTAGAAATATAAATATTTGCCATTACTCCTCTCATAAATGTAGTGTCGTGTTTTTGTTAATTATCTAACCATTGTAAAAAGCTAATTTACTTCGTATACAAGTCTGCGTTAGATAGCTGTCAAAAAACGTTAAGTTACTTGTACATAGTAAGCATTGTCTGCATAAACATTACTAAACTTTTGCTCTATGCTAGTTTTTGATAGTTCTATGCATAGTTAGAGACCCGCAGAAAATAGCAATTCAATCTAGCAAAGGCTTATTCTATACCCGCATGTACACGTGAGATCGTAACACTGAGAACAAAGGTCCTACGCCTTAGCCTGTTTCCTAATAGGTTTTTGTGCTGAAAAACATCTGTAATGTAGATCTATACTATCTAGTACCTCTGTCCTGTCCTTTGAAAGGCCACTCATAAACTTGACATTAATGCACAAGTGACAGTGGGTCGAAATCACAGTTTAGCTCGGCACCGGACTATAATATAGTCTTTACTGACATCACAACATAAGATAAACATCATTTACGTTTTAATAGATCACAGTTCTTTATTGATTTTTGTCATAGTTTATATAACATCACTGTTATTGAGGCCGTTTCTAGTTTTCGTTGCAAATTGTCGTATATTTTTGGAACGCTCGCAGCACGAAAGAGACATCTCCTGGATCAGTTAACACTGCCACAGGGTCACGCTAGCCCCTTTTAGTTGAACAGTTAAATTACCTAGACGAACGAGAGCTCCGTTGTAGCCATCGTCAGATTACTCAGCAACGCACGTTGTTTTGGGTCAAGCAGAAATGAAAAAGACACACTAACAACACTTCCATTTTCACGCAATTGCTACACAACGATTTATAGGGCCTTGAACGATGATGTTTCCTCAGCTGGAGAGGGAAACATCAACTTCAGCTTGACAAATAAGCGAGAGGCACCGTACAGCCGCTAGCTGTTATTTGTGAACGTTCAGTTCTTTCCATCAGATTTTCTAAGTTATGCAAATGTATCGTTCTTATTGTAGGTGCAGAAATAAAATTCATATACTTCAAAGCTAATCCTCTCTACTGGAAAGCGAAACCTTACATTAGCTGCTTTGATATTTCTTTCTGTTCCGCAACTTCGATAAACGCAGCCCTACGCCATCTTTCGATCACCTACATAGTATAGCATACTACAGCGTCGGTCGGTGTTTTTCGCGTAAATCGCAACTTGCTCGTACCTTTACGCTTGTGATGCGTACCGCTCAGCTTGAAAATTTCACGGCGTCCACATACAAACACACTGCAGACGGTTTATCTTTTATAGAAAAAGCGAAATGTGTTTTCCTCATCGATTGAAGCCTACCCGGTAACTGGCGCTTAGCCATCGGCGAAACGTTCGTGATATTATGTGAAACATAGTTGTAATACTCTTGAGGTAGACGCATTCGATGTACGATGATTTGCGCTCACTTATACTGCTATCGCTATCGATCTCTATATGATATTTTATTGAATACAACAAAGCTTGAACTACGACGACAGGTCAATGGCATTGTGTATTCAATGCGATGTCCGACGACCCTACGAACCAAACACCTCCTGATTTGTACATCCGTTTGTCATTTCAAGCTCTGTTTCTGTTTTCCCTTTGCGTACACGTTAGATACAGATGTTTTTCGTTGCAGGTTATCTATGGGGTGCAATAACAATACGAATAGATGTTCTTATCTAGTTATTGTATCGACTTCACCCGACCAATCTTGCTATTATATGACAAACCTAACACTGCTCAGTCTGATGGCTAAAATTTGCAGCAAATCTCCTAGGCGGTGTTCTAAATTTGATGATTATGCCAAACTTACAAACAAGATAGCCAGGGCGGGTCCTAAAGTACACGAGCTGCCTCGCTGTTGTAAGACGTCAGGATGTCTGTAAACCCAGAGCCTCGTCAGTCTGCCCGGAACCGATCGTCACGTGATGGTCTAGACCGATCTGTGTATAATGCAGATAGCTGCCATTGCTTGTTTTGACAGGTCGTCGCTATACGAGAGATCAACGATGACCACAATAAAGCGCTCAGCAGAGTTTCTCCAATTTGATCATTCGTCTATCTATGGGTACGCAGGACGAAAAACACTATTCAGGTATACATTACAAATTAGCTTAATGGTTTGTTATATTAGAATATGCAGTTATCATGTAACTTTCAAGGCAACCATTAGGAATCATTGTATCAACTTAGCGTAAGTTCCGAGCATGATACCTATCTGGTACTCCCGTGATTTCGAACAGTCGATTTTTCAAAAAAGCTTTTTTTTTTTCTCATTGACACGATACAGTCTACGTTGCCCGCAGCGACGGATATCAATCAGTTAAAACCAAAATCTTTGTATACTATTGGCTTTCACACCTGCGAGAAACGTAGGACACCGACTTATCATGGAGGTGCATCGATTACTAAAGTACATCGATGCAAGCACTTTTTCCCGTTGTGCAACAAAAGCGAGCCCGAAATCCTATTAGAACCAGATGCCATTGACATGTCAGATAGATTAATATAATAGTGTCATAGAAATCCTTGTACAGCGAATGTAACGTACATCTCAAATGATCCTGTACGAATCCTGGTCCACATGGCGTCGGCACAGAACTCTCTCTAATACAATGAGGTTCGCGTTTCATCGATGCAAATTAGACTATAGAAAAGAAAAAATAGCGATCCTGAAGATCGCTCAAATTCACTTTAGAAAATTTAGTAGTTGAAAATCTTGCCCCCCCCCCCTCCCCCCGTCCTACGCTATCTCCGAAAGTGCTGACGTTGCACCGTTATATATAATGTACGTAATATACGCATGGTTTTTGGTAAATGTTTTCCCAAAGGCCAAATAATGTCGATCCTTCACTTCTGACGACTAAATATAAATAGAACGTAAGTTCTGCCAAAAAAAACACCAATAGGTGTCGCTCCAAAGCATTAGCGAGTTCGATCTAAAAGCGTATAAGAATCTACAAGATCTATATCCGCTTATTTCTTTATTTCGTTGCCACAATGGACATCTTTCTAAGACGAACGTAGGCTATAATGGATGGTTTCAGCTTCACTGGATATTCATTCGGCTGCCGCAGTAAGTGGCTTTCTACAGGTACAATTGCTGCGGACCTTTTGGAAGAACGGTCGTGATCGCGCTGGGCTTTTTCCGATGAAGTCTGCAAGTAACTACATTAGTCGCCGACAGAAGCGGTAGCGCCACCACCATCAGTAGGGAAGTAGAATGCGCCGATCCAACAGCGGTTTTAAGCACTGACTCTGCAAGAGTCGATCCGCACCAAACAAACCACTGGTTGGTTAGCCGCTTCTGACTTTTCGTTCCCCCAGCCAAGAAGTATAGACGCTATTACTGAAGGAAGTGATAGGGAAAAGGCAAACGAGCGACTAACGCGATGGCAAGGGTTTCAAGAAAGAGGTTCTCAAAACGACCGAAGAACCATCTTGGAACGTCCTCAAACACACGTTAACAGCACGCACAAATGCACACGACCACATGAAGACATTTACAAAGTCAAGGTCGTACGATTCGAGTTTTGATGATTCCTGTCTCGATAATGCTGATGGATATGATCAACCAACTTCCATAGAACCCGACAGCGTAGCCTGCTCCATGAGATGGATATTTTAAATTTCCATTATTTAGAAACATTTATCTAGAGATTATATGTCTTAGTGCAACTTATCAACCTTTGTCTTGACTTAGGAGCATCAAAATTATTTTTATTATCGGTCTTCTTTAATGGCATACGGAAAAGTCATTTGCATATTATCATGGTTACAGACAACAGAGTACGTTTCATGCATAACATGCTACAGGTCTCGGATAATGCCTGAATGAATACCCGTATCACGTATTGAGAATATATACCTATAAATTGCGCTATAAAATATATAAGTTAGCAAGATTAAGTTCTTTTTAGTGATTTATCATATCATTTATTACCCTGTCTCTGTTGAAGCGATTGGAGGAACAGGCTGTTTACATGACGGATCCAAGCTAAAGGGACGCTGATTTTATATCGAGACAATCGTTCTGATGCTCAGTCTCATACATGTCAAGCATAGTCACTGCACTACATTGCTTTCATATTCATTAGATAATTTCAATGATTTGCACCAACATGGTACACCTGCTATGCACCAAGGACCTAGTACTGGATTCTTATAACAATATTTGCTGTTCTTGTTCCGAAACAACTTTATAAACGGGGGTTTCAGCTAGGTTTTTATCGTTAACTTATTCGTTATAATCATCATCGAAGTTGTTTCGTAGAACAGTTTTTATATTGTAACAACTCGGTAGATGTGACTTCGAACGTATCACATTAAGTTACAAAGACGAACATATTTCAACATTACACGATGGTATCGAATAAGAGCGTGTGGTAGGTTAAGTAAAACTGTCACAACAACCTCGTCTATTCCGGTCCGCACCAACAGAAAATAAAAGCACCACTTCGTAATAGGAACATAATGGTCCCCTTCTACGAAATGTAAAAGTCTACGAAGTTGTCAACCTCCAATATATCGTTTTATGCCAAACATAGCAGTTCGCGTACAGTTGCAAGCGGGTGTTCCCGTGATAGGGCAAATCGATAAGGTGGCAAAACCTTTGTTTCGAACGGAGCTTCTAAAAATAGCTCGCGTTAGAAAAGTTACGTCTGAATCGATGGTACTTGAGTACGGCCCTCAATATCATATGTTAGCCGATGCGGAAATACGGAAAACGAATACCGATAGACGTTCAAGTATTTATACCAACGCCGATGCAACTCTTCAACAGTTGTGTACCTTGCGATACGCATTCAAAATACTTCTTAAGCAGGTTATCGGTGGCCTATTTGAGATATAGGACATGCTTCGCCGCCTATTACCATCTCCTAGTATCACACTAACTTGATTGCGGGCAAAGGCCGTCCGTTCCTCAATCTATGCGATAGTTCAAGCGTGGCAACAGTAAGCATTAATGAACGATGCTCTTCATGAATTCTGCCAGCATGGGCTTTCCCATCAATAGCGTCCAAACAGCTTTTTGACCTATAGATAGAACACCACCATACGTGCCTATATCCAGCTGGGAGTTAGTTAATGGGAAACCAATTTTTTGCTTATCTCTTCCACCTTCAACGTTTTCGTTATCATTTCTAACACATACTTCAAGGAATCCCGTACTGAATAGCAAGAGCATGTTGTTTCCGCCATATTTTTCAAAAACTCCCCTAATTACAACAAACTGTTCTTCCGCTCAGGGTCCTAACATGTAGTCACGCCCTTCGTGTTCTTCTGGAACTTAATTGTTGTCCGTAAACCATTGAACCAGTACCTGACTGTTAGTTCGTTAAAAGTTTATCGGTGCTTACTTCCAGAAGTTGAAAGAACTTCTTGTAATAATAATGTTTTCACCTTTTCAATAGCTCCGAACAGCAATACAATGGTATTAACCTATTTTTGCTTAATTGCTTATCATTAATCCATTATGAACCGCTAGTTGTGCGTTGAAACCAAGCTAACTAACTACACGCTGTTCTTGTTGTTTCTATAATAGCCTTTGATTTCGAAAGTAACGTTCAAGTTAGCTCTAGGATTGAGGACTTAACACGACAGTCTTACAATGAATGGCTACAGGCAACGTATTCCGACATCTTGGGTCACGCTGGTTCAACAATCCCTGACAAGTGAACCGTCAATTGTCGCAGTGGGTTTTCTAAAGTGCGGCTACGTATTTGTTGCGTTAGACATTTAATGATCAGGGTTAGCTAGCCGTCGACGAAAATTAATCTAGGTAGCTGTAGGTGCGCTAGTTGCTGGCTACAAGACACTACCTTAAAATAGAATATAAATCGCGAAGCTTCGTGAAACTGTGACGAGATCGCAATATGAGATGATCTGTGTGATTAGCGCCTGGGTCGACAACGATTTCCTGGACACTTGGAAGTCTCCATCTTATTTATCACACGGATAGAAATCCACGCAGCGTAACGAGAGCAACAACGACACCACTCCACTTCACTCCACTCCACTCTCTAATCGACCACGAATATTTCGCTGACATAAATATCACCCGACGGGTTCGGTTAGACGAGGCTTCTCGAAAACCATCGGTACAAGGTAAACGTATTATTAATATATCGTTGAAAATTACAAACTGGGTTGTTAGGCGTCAAGGATTGAACAACGACCTGCACAGAAGAAACTTTGTTGTGCTTTCTTCTTTGGTTCTTCTCCGTCTATATCACAAGGTTGATGCTGCTTGCTGGAACGGAATGACAGGGACAGATTAGAAATGATGTTAATTGATCAAATGTTCCGAGGCTCTGGCAGACTTTGCCATCGTCAACAAATACAAATTTGATCTCGTTACGAGTAGCGGTGAACGTATCGTCCTTGTTGGGCGACAAACAACTGGGCTATAGGCGTTGAACATTAGGAAAAAATTGCGCAATATCATCCCCCAATGAAAATGAGCCCATTCAACGAAAGCGTTGCAACGAAAAAATTATACTGACATCGAATGAATCGTGTCCTTATGTCACACGCATTCATCGCCTCGTGACTTACGGGCATAACACCGGTTCAAAATAGCCGTCGTCTATAAATAGGCCCATGCTACGATTCCCACCTGGCGGTGAAATCTACATTGATTACTCGAAAAACAAAAGCGAATGGCGTATGGATCGATACTAAACCGTACAGCCTTCACAATCCAATCAATGCAGTCCACAACGGAAATATCCGTCATCGAACATTTAAAGGTCAGCCGGCCTCCAGCCCAAACAAAAGCCGGTGCACATACTAACATACATGTACGCTTATACTCATCGACAGCAAACCGTACAATCTCGTTCCGCTGTTACCTTTGACTGGCGCTCACAGGATGACTAATTGGATACGAAAAACTACCGGGGCACACAGTACGACTGAAATTAATGACATCAGTACTAGTTTGTTTAAAGTTATTCACGGGCCCATAAACAACACCGCGGACCAAGGGCACGTCTGCTATCGAATAGGTAGATACCGAGGCATCTACGGGGAGATCACTTTCTGGGCGAGAACCAGTTTACAATACAATGGTCGTCTATAACGGATAGAGGAAGCGTTGTCGGGAAAGTTAGTAGTTTGTCACGACAGTGACTTGCTGCGATGATATTTTTCCATTGTATTTTGCATGTCTAGATTATCGACGATTAAGCCGTAACAGGGTAGAGCTCAAAACCAAAGGACTTGTATTCCATTGCCATACTTAAGAAGTTCATTTGATGCTTCCTCTATGATCACCTCTAATCCCTAATGTTATTACTGCTCCCAACTCAGAAAAACCTACTGATAATTCTGCCGCTGATTAAATCGATGCTGTAGATTTATGCTCACGCCTCAAGTTGCTTTTAACGCTGCAGTGAAGCCAGCGTGAGGCGTAATTGTATTATTGGTCAACTAGTAAATATAGGACAAGATGGAAAATGTCTCACAGCTCTTCACAGCATTTATGAAGAACGCTCGAGCGAACCTGGCATCATAATCCAAAGTACTTACTCAAAATGAAGATCTCTAACGACGGACCTACCGTCCTCGATATATTCAATCACTACATCGCTAGAAAGGAGAAAACCATTCAGATCAACGAATCGATGACGGCCTGTTAATGAGCAGATAGATCAATTAAAAAAACAAACGATCCCTGATCCGTTCATATCTGACGGCTGCAGTGGACCAAAACAATGTTATATTCCGTCGCGTTTATGCCGTCGAATAAATATTACGCAATTTCTTTCGGTGTTAGGTCAGCATGCGAAGCCATACACGTAATAGATGATCATCATATCTGAAGCGAGACTCGTTTAAAAATTGTAAATAGAAAGGTCACCACCTGCCAAGCCTAGAAAATGGTTTAGCTTTATTAACGCTTTACCATTGTTATTATTAAAATAGACACGTGTGGGAAGCGAAGCAAACGTGACCAGGATGCAGAACCTTATGTATTATCCCTTGAAATATATAAAATTGCAGATATGTGACAAAGTACACTAGACCTTCGACCCAAACAGGTGGGCGCCTCATCCACCTTTGGCTTAATCTTGAGATCAAAAACTCTAGCGGAGCGATGTAATATATCTATGTATTTACGTATATATTTACTGAGCAGAAGGCGCTGGTAGTAATTATTTGTATCAAAGCTATTTAAGCCAAATTAAGGGAATAAATACCTACACCATAATCACTTGAGTATAGTCTGGTACTAAAACTTGTGTGTAAGTAAGTTCTTTCAACACCCATCAATCCGTAACTTGTACGTTGGTAATTACGTTCAATAGACGATGATTATTTGTGTGTGAAAAGAGGAGTAGTCTCAATGATTCTACGACTATTCTACATATATTAGCTTCAAGTCTGAACCATCTTTTTATTAAAAAAGATGTTATTACTACTATTGATTATTAATATAATGTAAGTTAATAATATAATCGGGAAACTTACTGTTATCAACAGCCCCAACAAAATTGTTAAACACTATTATATCGTAGTGTTTAGCTCTTGATTCATTTATTAGACTAGCTACATTATCATGGCGGACTGTTTAGCTCCTGATTGTTCTAAAAATACCCAGTCATTAAATAGAACTGTTGTTCAGTTTGCATCGTGAAGCCTTCCTTCTCATAGCATTTGTTTCCAGGAAGTAATTTCCAAAAGTGTAAAGTAAAATGGATACATTTATATATTATATGTATAAAAGTGTACTACCTTTACCAACTATATATATATATATATATATGTTTTTAGGCATACCGAACGATAATGTTTGTTAGCCATATTTGTTATAGGGCTTTCAGAGATGGGGGTGTTAAACTTAACACCCCATCTCTGAAAGCCTTAGTGTTTAGAGGCGGCGCCATTTCAGCGAACTAGCGCCTTGACATCATATTCAGTTTTTTACTCGTCCTATATATAGTTTGATGTCCAGCAGAGCTAAATACAGTAAATGGCCTTTACATTAGCAGCGACGGTATTGTCTTTAGCGGTCAAATTTGCGACGCACAACGATTTTTCCGTTGCTATGCCAAGCTCTACGCCATGTTTCAATTGAACTATCATTCCGTTCCAATATACGTTCGCTAATTATTCAAAATTAAATTAATAGAGCTTTTTATCAGCACCGAGAAAAGTTACCGTGTGAAGTTTTGCCATCAGGTAGGGTTTCCTTCAATGCATTATAGAACAATTCGTATATATATATATATATATATATATATATATATATATATATATATATATATATATACCGTTCCATGGATTTAAAGCTGCTATCCGTAAAAACCAATGCTTGGTGTTGATGTTAGATATTAATCCCATTGAAGTTTTGTATCAGGTAAATATACACACCTCAACTGAAGGAAAAAGTGGCAGAGTAAACGATTTCTTTTCTATGCTATGACACTTTCTGTGAGGGGCTACCACTTTTGCGGTGACCGCTTGTCATTAGTACACGAAGTCTAGCACACGCACTCACATATCATCTGCTCGTCTCGTTCATCGATCATTATTGTCATGGCCGCCGTGCCAAACTAGCGTAATCTCACGTTATGGAAGCCTAATTATTAGAAAAAGGAAATGCGATAACTGAACAGCAGGAAAAAAAAACCCTAAGGCGTATTTTCTCACCAACCTGATTTGTATTTCCAGCGTTTTGTTTTCGCTTTATGTCACAGCCCCTTCGAAAGCAGATCTGAAGCCGCAACGTATAGATTTCCGTTTCACCTGTAATCGACTTCTGTTTCGTTCTCTGCGAAAACTGACTTAAATCGCCCACCAACTGTAAAAATGATGCTTGTCCGGATCGTACGATAAACTCTTAGCGCAGTAATGTCGTTGTTGTATTTAGTTGAACTAGTCTGAATTGTGATGATAGATCTTTTGTCGAACGGTTATCCCTGTCGGCAGAAATGTTCCGTCTGCGCCGGGACCCAGCTATGCTTTAGTCACATTGGCCTGCCACAGATGAAACGCGTCAAGAGGCGTAAACTAACACAGAGGGGAAGCTAAGTCTGGGTGTGGAGCCCACTGTTGCTGAGCACATGCTCTGTACCCAGTGAAAGCCGTCGTACGGTTCGTTCGCGCACTCCAACCGCACGTGACTGCCGTTTACGAGAGACGCCTTCCTCTCTGCGAGAGGGCGATCCGGCGAGGGCAGTCAGGGTAAATAAAGAGAACATACGCTGCTATTATTGCTAGTGCTAGATATTTGCAGAGCAGGGCTAGGTGAAGTAATTAGTGCCTATAGTTTTCGAACTCGAACAGCTATTTAGCTGCAGACAACTTTTGCACCCAGGCTTCCCTGTGTAAATGACTAGGATATCAACTTTTTCTTTCTGCGTTCAGCATTGTATATTTCTCTTAGATGTCAATAGGCTTTTCATAAACTGTGGACACGTGTCCTTGTTAACCGCCACTTTGCCGTGAATGTGTTTTTTGAGAGCAGTGTAGGAGAGGGTGGGAATGGTAGACCTTCTGCGATTACCGCTCGAGTCGGCCCAACGTCGCACGAAGGCGACGCCAATAGTTCTTCGTATTCTCATTTTGAAATTCGTTTCGGTGACTAATATTCGCGTATTTTTTATGTTTAGCGCCATAGGTGTACGTGTCTCGTGTGGGGGAATCGTTGAGTCAGATCAGCATACAACTATTGTTCTTCTAGAGATCTTCAAAAGGTTTCACGAATGAGAATAGACAAATTGAGATCAGTGCGAAAAATCACTATAGAGTTATTAAAACAGTAACTTTTCAGAGGAAAATATTGAGGATTGTGCACAATTGCCTCTATAATGGCGAAGCTTGGGGTTGTCTTGGGTCATACGCGCTGTCCCAACTAATTTTCGTCGCACAATTAAACCCCCGCAAGGCATAACAACATCTTCTGTGCACCCTTCCATTTCGATCATGAAAGTTCCTGTCGCTCACCAAAGCTGATTACGATGACGTGTCATCACGTCTAAACAACAACTTTGTGCCGTTTTATGATTTGATGACCCATGTTGCATGTCGAAAGTGTATACGTCTATGACATATCATCAGCGGGATCAGCAGTGCGCTTGACCGTACTCTACTACACAATTGTTTTTAATGTGTTGTCAAACTAAAACAATAATTAACGTTAATCACTCATCCGTACGTCAAAAAATGTTCACCCTTGATGGTTCTGCATGGGACCACGATGCGCCCATTTAGCAGTAGTTTCTGGGACGCGTAAGGCTCCACAAAAAACTTAATTTTTTTTTTCTTTTAAATTTATCTTTTGGCGATAATTGAGGGGCCGGACACTTCGGAATTAGCCGAATTGAGCCCTAACATAATTAGATAACACAATATTTAAAACCCTTTGAATTCAGTACGGAATGGCTTTTTTCTTCGTTTGAAAAATCCCTCTTCTGGCTAGAACTACGTTTATATCGTTATATAAAGCACTCTAGTTACTAAGCGAATGTGTATTTTCTCTATCTAGGCTAGTTTAGCGATCGTTATCATCTCTGTATGAGAGATATCAATATAGAAATAAAAAAAATATACAAAACACATATTTACATCGTACCTAGTATAGTGTCACTATTGTATTTCTTCGACAATTTTAATGTGTTTCATGGTCTTGCTAAGGCTTGACTTGACGTCAAGTATATAATATGTGTAAGGATGAGCGAAGGTTACATTTTAAATACATAGAAATATTAACACTTACGTTCATAACCCTGTGTACGATGGGCAAAGGTAGAGTTTTGTGACAGCTCACTAACATGCATAGACATAACAGAACGGGAACGCGACTATCGAACTCCTACATATAACGTACACTCGATATAATATAACTAAAGGAACTCTGCAATAAAAAAAAGAATCGATGCTATAACTTCTGGAATTAACGATAATTCCGTAGTTAATTAATTAGCGTCTGACAATATACCTAGTTTAATTAGGAGGTGATACGAAATCTGTGAAGTTTTCTTTATTATAGCACGCAATTACGGTATGTATTTCATATGAGATTATAATAAGCCTCTCATATTCGATTTGTTATTTGCTAGTCGTCAAGTGTTGTATACCTCTGAAGAGCCGGGCCTGCACCAACCTTTTTTCGCGATTTTTTGGCCTTTGTAAATGTAGTAGAGGAATTAGAAACTATAAGGCGACAAAGAAAGCGATAAAGCGACAAGAAAACACGATAATTTTAGGAACATCGGTGAGGTCGACAGAAAAACGACTTGATTTCATCAAGTTGCCAAAAGATAATGATAAAGAATGCCAAATTCGAAACTAAAATCGATACTTCTTTCCATTTTCCTAATAAATTTCGCTGGTTTTCATAAAGTTTGCCAGCAGATCCTTTAGTATATTATATTTTTAGTCGGCATATCTACTAGTATCCCAAATGTTTACATTATTATACATCATCATTATTATTATTATATATTATCATGAAGTGCCGAAATCATCGTATTTTTATGTAATGTGGTATGTCGACCTCTAAGGCTCTTGGAGAGGATGTGCGACTCGAAAAGGCCGAAGGTCACAGGTTCTCAGAACTTTTCAATGGTACGCAATAGTTTCAAAAATGGCTGAAGCGTCGCGTGCTTCTCGTTCGACCTACTATATATATATATATAATGTTTAAAATTATTAGACTTTGTGTACACATATTTATGTACATTTGCGTAAAAAATAAATTATTTTTCTATATTGACATATACTTCTCAAACTATCAAATATGCATTCTAAGCTATTCGCACGTTATCCTTGCCTGTGCGCATAGCCGCATATAAAAATAGAATAATTTAATCTTACAATTGGATTAATTGATCATCTGTCGTATCTGTTACCACCTATACGTTTTTTCAATGGTTCTCCGCTTATATGCGATGGTTAGCTTACACAGGTAGAATTTATCAAAAATACCTGCTGCATTTGTTTTTCATGCTTTGCCCGCATTATTTCGAACAGTCGAATACTCGAGACTCTTGAGAAAGTAACTTGTTCGTTCTGTGACCCTGATGGTTCGAATAGTGAGCGGAACTCGTGTTGAAATTAAGTTATCTCGTTTCGTTGTAGTTGGAGGCAACGAGAACGTTACGGACCACCAACATACAACATTATAACACGCATATCCGCGTATTCATGTCATGATTTCTTCATCCAGCACCAGGGGAATAGCTCACAATTTGTCAAGTCGATCTAGGCGTTCAAGTCCTTGGTCCTTGAATGGCTGCGACCCGTCCAAACAAATCGATAGCACAGGACTAAGAAAACGTTTGTTGACTGGAACCTGAGTGGGCCAGATGAACGATGCTAGAATACCCACAACGAACGTCACTAGCCATGTTGCAAACGTATACCATTGATAGGAAAGATTGCACAATGGCAGATACATACTGCACGACTTCTCACTGAAACGGAATACGACATGATGATATGTAAAAGGAACATACCCTTTAGGCAATGTATGCTTGTTTGTTTAAGATGTACCGCAAAGGCTGCTATGCATTGTTTCGCTCAAAGCAATATGATGTTTTTCGTTTTTATACTCAGATAGTCTTACTTCTTTTACCAGCCCAATGCTGTTCTTGGTATTATAACCCGTTTCAAACGATCTGGGAAGCGTTATGAACGAAAATAAGCCCAGATCTCCAGGCCTCGTAAAACAACATATCTCTATAATAATGGTGCACCGAACAGTTGCAGTACAGCGGAACTGAAATAGGCGTAGAATTATGAAGCAATCTAAAATACTAGGTACGTCTGGAAAGTCTCCGAACGGAGATTATGTGCCTCTCTTGCTATATATATATAAAGAGGTCATCTTAGAGTGGCCTCATAGAAAAAGTAGTAGGACAGCTTTCTCGTCGTATCTGACCTAATGATCAGTCGTCAGGTTACAAGACGTTTGAACGTCATCCACAGATTGTCGATTCACAGACCGTTGACGTATGAAGCGAATGTCTGTATACACCGACATTACTAAGCTGTCGAGACCTTTTGCAGAAGAGTCACATGCTAGACTTCATCTATCATTGGGTCAATATTGCCTAGTACCTTCGACATTTGCATACTGAATAAAATAGAGATAAGATTGTTCGATAACATTAATTATTAAGACGTTTGTGGCAGTGCGTAGGCTATACATACACGACAAGCCAATAGTTGCCCATCATAAGGTGCTAAAAAATTACTAATTATAATAACTGGACTGCGTGTATAAATGATTTACTCTAGATAACTCCGCTGCATAACAATTAGTAAGATATAACGCGCTCAAAGGGAGAAATGCATATTGAAAATACAATAGCAACGGCTGATGTCAAATAAGCCCTGTTCTGCTCTGTGCCCATGTAATGCTAACGTTTTTTAAAGACAAATTTACAGTATAAGCAATTACTAATTACAGATCACACGTTAATCCGTACCGTCTTACGGTACAACGAGCAGTTCATCATGTCTAATCTATGGTAGCCATAATATTTTATAAAATACTCGGGAAAATAATGGCACTTTACATAAAGGTATATATATATACCTTTGGGCAAATCGGTCGTGAAATGTGAGATCCAGCATCGTATAACATTTAAATTCTACTTTCCATACGGAGATGATAGAAAATGGGTCGAAATATGTAGCGGAGGGCCTAATAGGTGCTGATATGAGCCTGAATGTTATATGCTTCGTACAAAGCAGGATAACACTGATTTGCCAGTGTGACGGGGCCAATTGGAAGAAAGTAGACGTCAAATTGTCGGGTAGAAATTTACATGACATTTCATACAATTCAGGCCGCAGTATGCTGTCGTATTGTATGAAAAAAATTAAGAAATCAATGAAAAATGAGTGAACGCATTAAAAAAAATAACTAGTAACGTGAATGATTCTACGACGTTATTGCAGCAGCACTTCATTGACTGACACTATATATGTGATTATGGGGCATTTGGTAGCAATTAGCTCGTGAAAAGTGACAGCACAAATACCTGTGATTATTTTGTTGTATTAGCCATTTTAATTTTGGGCGTGAGAGTGACTTACATAATAGATATATTTCTGACAATTGGCTCTTCAAGACAAGCATCGTTGGATAAAGGTAGGTGAGCTGAAGGAGCTGCTTCTAATAAGGCTCCTATTCCGATCCACGCACCGACAAGAAGTCCACAAATGGTTCCTACGATTGCTGACTGAAAGTGGTACAAATGACCAGGAGGTCACATTCATGTTTTGGTTAGATAGCTCAAGCTATGTTCAGAGTAAGTTTTCAACTATACAGATCAGTATTATCATGTTTACACATGTAGCAGACGTGAATTTCAGAGCAATGCAATACAACTGAGCGTTTAACGAAAAGACCGTTTTGAAAATGAGATACCTTTTGGCTGCATCTCGGAACGAGCATTCCTAAACAAAAGGAGCCTAGCAAGGGTCCACCTCCAATGCCGAAGAACACAAAGGATGCCTGAAGAACTCCACCTAACCGTTCGGCCACAGCAGTCATGAGGACACAGATGATACCATACAGTAGCGCTGAAACCAACGCCAGAAAATCAACCAACGTCAATAGTTTTATAGTAATAACATAAATAAGAAAACGGTAATAATAGTAATAAAAAATAAACCTTATATCACAAAATAGATCTGTAATACTGATCACATACGTCTTTTTTGCTAAAAGTAGAGATATGGATAAATGCTTTTACTAACATGCGCATTTTCCGCGAAAGTCCTGCGAAGGTCTAGGCCCGTTTTGATTATATCGAAAAAGGTGCGTGTTTCGAAAGTGAATTTTATCAGAATTAGTGGTGTAACTTAACTTTATGCCTAGCCTGAATATGGGGAGTTTTCGCCCTGTAGTTCTGCAGTAGTAGCCTTTAGTAAAACTGATTTAGAGCTCGTCACCAGAGGTGTCTACACCCGAATAGGTTTGCTGTTCGCTATAGCGGACTTCTAGACTGTTAGTGCCATCAGTCGTATATATATACATGTATCTAAAGCCGAAAAAAATTGACATAGGCTGTTTTTATGGAAAACCGCTATGCTTGCTTACGCATCTTTCCCATTTAGGTAACTCTCAAAGTTCGTCGGCTCTTGTGCAAGATCTTTAGTCCATCGTCACCCCAAAAAATACTCGTTAATTGTTATTGTTTGTTCTTCTGATATGATATATACGTATAACCATTCGATAACCTACCGATAATCTTGATGATGAGCGACTCGTGTGTATCTTTGCCTTTTCGTATTGGTTTCACGAAATCCTCATAGGACACCGCAGCCAATGAGTTGATCGCTGACGAGACTGTGCTCAATGCACCAGAGAAAATGCCCGCGACAAATAAACCCGGTAAACCCACGTAATTTCCTGAAAATAATACGGTGAAAAAATAGCTTTCCTGTAAAGGCAAAAATTGATCTTTGCAACGACTATATTGTATAGAAAAATATCGTCTACGCGTAGCTACAATGATCTCTAGAATCATATGAATACCTATTCCTTCATGATACATTGCGCTATAACAACCAACCCACAATGTTTGCGTAGATTTTACATAAATACCACCCAAATTTATATATATATATAGTAAATAAGTTTTGCATACCAAAATATTTCATGACGAAATATGGCAAAATCTGATCGTCAGTCGAGATCTTCCCTGTTATGTAGGGATCGCATCCATTGAAATTGGCGTAGATAACCAATCCAGTCAGGCATAACGTGAGTGACAGAGCAGACAGAATAGGCCAGTTTATAAATAATGCCCTGAAATGATGAGGTATGCCTTTTACAATTATTCTATGTTTATATAAAAATGTATACAACTTATTTGAAATAAGCCAAAGTAAAATACAAACACTTCCAAACTTCAGTCATTAATAGATACCATTTCGTTTCTTTTTTTTTGCAAATTAAAATCTGGCACTTACCCGAGGCACCAAATTGAATCATAACAAAGATTGCTTACGATTGCGCTGTTCGGAGCCGCTTGACAGTTAGAAGCCTTTGAACCTGAGTTTGATTAACACCATAGAGTGAAACATACATAAAAAGGCCTCCTAAACCTAATGCCCAAAATGTATGGCGTTCCTCAGGATTAAAACTGAAACTGTTTTGTCGAAAAATGAAAAGAACAGAAAAATGTGTCTTGTATTAGTATATGGGTCGCAGAGTGCTGATACAATGAAACATTGGCACTGCGCCCAATAATTGCCCATCCCTTAAGAATGAGTATGGATGATGCTGAAAATGCCCGTAAAATATTTAGGTTAAACTTCAAGGAAAACATCAGGAGAAAACATACTGACTTCAAGAGATTCAATCGGCCTCCTTCCTTGGCAATTCGTAGTACATTTCCAAACCCGCCTACACGAATGGTTCCTGCTATTTGAATTGCTATCATAGATCCAAACATCAACACAGACTGGAACACGTCTGTCCAAAGGACCGCCTTCATTCCACCTGAAAACAAATGTTGTCGCATCAAAGGAACGTTTTTCTCGGGATTCATGCCGCTCGTGCGAAATTTACGACGTCAACAACACCGACCAATTGTTAGAGAAGCGGCGTGGTGTAGGTAGTAATCATGAATGCGCGGCTACCCTTAGTCCAAACGTTAAAGTTAGCAAAATGGTTGCTATAACATACGGTTTCCAAGTCGTTTCGCAGGTCTGTTAAAGGATCAACAGAGAAATCCCGACAAGTTACATCCCGATTAGATCTTTCAGTGGGTGAAGTGAAATGACGTCGGCGGGGTGACTCCAAGGATTCCGTGGGAATAACCGAAGGCGTTTAAAAATACCGTTTATTAACGGCACAAATACAAAGCTAGACAACGTGCAGGTATATACAGACAGATGTTTTAAATATGTAGGACGGAATAAATCTATATAGATAAATTAGTATGACCAAAATAAAGCTATTCACATTGGGTGACAATATGTTTGTTGTTTCAATAATAATAAGGCTACAACTTTGACTAGCGTTTTGCCTTGGCGACCAAAAACCTACTTGGTCGCATTTATTAATAAAGAAATAATAGACGGACGATGGATCTTTGGATGGAATATCAACTGAGCTTCAATGTTTGTAAAGGATCAGTAACTGTTGCCAAATGCATCGTTTAGGATATGTAACTTAAGTTACCTGCATATCGTTGAATATGCCAGAAAATATTTACTCGCACTGATAGAAGAAGAACAAAGCTTTCTGCCGGGCAGTGAATGAGTGCGTATCATCAGCACCAAATTAAGTTAAGCACAGAGCTAAACCAGTTGCAAGCATCACCGTATTCTAAAGCCACTAGATACTCCCGATGTTTGTTACAGAAGAAACGTAGATCTTCAGTTTTGACAGCCTCCTGGCCAACATGAAACAGCGATAATAAATATACAATTTACAAAATGACAATTGCAACATTTAAACAACATGGCTGATACCATACCTAGTGTACAGTAGAACGTACAAACAATCCCGACGCTTAAAATTGCACCCCATTTCGAAAGGTGCGTGACGGCATGTAGCGTGACCGCCGGCGCGTATACTACGACAGACATATAGAACACCATCTGTACGATGAAGATAGCCGACGCCAAAAATCGGGTGGGACGACCAAAACGCCGCTCTAGATACTCGTACGCAGATACCACCTAAACACACAAATACCTGGCTATCAGCTCTCGGCTAAATTGACGAAATTATAGTATGTAGTTTCCAACTAGTATTACGATAAATGATAATACAAGCTATCGGGTGCCTCGGATCGACTCTAGGCCATATCAAAATGTAGTGTTAAATTGTTTAAAATTGACACCTAGAGAAGATTGCTTATATCAACGTAAATATATCTGCGTAGGCGGTTCCCTCTTATTCTTGATGTTGACGGCTGCACTTCGTCTAACGGAACGCTACTTACCTGCAATTAAATCAGCCTCACAAATCGAGCCTAGCTGCCCACAAGGACAATAGGTAAGATTTGTGACACTGGGTGGATTCTACCAAAACAGTATTACCTTGTGGTTAGGGGCAATGCTACCGTTCGACGGGTTGACGGTAGCCATCCATAGGTTATACAACAATTATAAATAATAGTATAAATTATACTTACTTGAAGACGAAAGAATACTGGGAGGAATATAAAGGCAGCTATCGGAGTACCAATGATATAGGCAATGTTAATGATGAAAAATTGTATCCCTGCAATTTCAGAGAAAAGCCTTTATTAGAAGTATAAGCTTGTTTTTGTTCCCATACTAAAAATGTTAATGTTTCAACTGTAGACTAGCCATCAAAAAGGCTATGCTTAATATGGTACAAATGTTGATATTTATCAGGATTTGCGAAGGAAATCGCTGCCATAATGTCGATTGATCGGACCGCATATTAGATCAGTAAGTAAAACCTTATCAAACAACGTCGGTAACATCTGATCCTAATCTAATGTAAAGTCTGATCCTAATCGGTCGGTGTAGCTATACGTATTCTTTCAAAGTAAATCGTTCCACTCTTACCAAAGAAATAGTTCTCTTTAGGGACGCCTAGCAACGACACGGCGCTCATGAAGCTCGCCATAAGAGAAAACGTCACTGGGGTAACTGACATATCTCCGTCAGCCATGAGAAACTCTCGCGCGGTCCTTTGTCGTCCGCCCGTGAACCGGTAGAAAATCCCAATACCCGCTGATATGGCCAGTGCAACGGCCAATACGGTGACGTCCCACGCGGTGAGTGTGGCCATGACCGCCGACTCGTCTGGAGCTGCTTCGGACATTCTGTTTTACTGCACTGCTCGACGTAATTTTTTGTGAAAATTATCTTCCTCGAACTACACGAAAAAACAAGGCGGGACCTCTTCTGCAAGCAGAGCGGATATGTGGCAGATTTACGCGATGGTAAATTTTATATTCGTTCTATTAATAGATTCTGTCTGTAATGGCGTTAGCGTTGGCGGAAATTTGTTTAGAAGTAACTTGGATTGCCTTAACTTACTTATACGTATCAAAAGCAAATACGAAGCAGGAGATTATTCGCATGGTCTTTTTTAGGATGAACGAAGTGTCCAGCTAAACAGATCTCGGTTCAGGAGATTGTTGAAGCCCCAAAACGTATGCCGCGTTACTTAGTTGGTCGTTACCGTTGACTGTGTCATAGGCTACACGACTCATACGTGCTTTCTCCAACACAAGTTAGATTGTTCAATTATCACTTCTTCAATCAGAATTGATGCACATACGGGCAAATTGCCACTGGGGCGAAACCTTCTGTTTATATATATACAGACACACAGACACAGACCCAGACCCACACACACACACACACACACCCATACGCATTTTATATAACTTCTCTGGCTCAAAGATCGAGATTTAAGCGGATTGGATAACCGTTTTAATCACTTATATATTCAGTAGAACGTTATTTTACATTACTATAATTCTATAGCAAGTCGATCGCAATTGTTATTTTTCTAGCTAAGTGACATTTTTTAGTTTACGCACTTGTTGTTTACCGTATAAAAGTTTGTCAAACTTACTTATACGTGGTGGTTAGTTAAAAGAAGACTCAGAATTCAATCTTGTATACTATACGCTGAGAGGCCCTTCGTTGCTGACCGTTATATCGTCACTACCAAACCGACATGAAAGGAAATCTATAAAGCTCCTATTGCCGCACCAAAAAAGATCTAGGTAGAGAGATGAAGGTCATATTCGAGAGTACATATCGAATATCAATGCGGAACTAGCTTTATAGGAAAATGATCCAAACATTCCTTAGACTTAGAACGTATAGTTGAAGAAGTCGTGTATCTTGCGGCATGCAAGAAACTGTCATGCAATCTGATACGGCACGACGCGCTTAGTAACCATCATCACGGCACATATCAATGGGTCAAAATAGGCTTACGAGGGGGTGAAAATATACGCTTACGCTTGAGATTTCGTTTACATTACACAGCAGAAATAGATGCTATTTATGACCAAACAAAAGATACGCATGATTATCCGGGTCGTTGCTATTGTGCAAAATCACGTACTCACTCAAAATGGCCACCTTAAATGTTAACACAGCCTCATTAGCTGGCCCTGCATTCACGCATCGTCGCATAATACTATTGATCTGTCTTTCATATCGTCGATAGGTCTTCACCGTGATACAGAAATTCTACCATAACACCTCAAAAGAGGAAGTTCGTTTCGGTGAAGTCTGGCAACTACGGCGTAGACCAAAACTTGGACCGGATATTTATAGATCGCTTGCCTGAACGGTGGCGTCCCATATCCAAAAACGGATCGTCCCGCATCTGTCCTGCAGTGAGTGTCGATCCTGAACAACAAGAACAACAACTTGCTAGGATCAATTCTATAGCCGTTATAACCGCTACAACGCTACTTATCCAATCTATCTCGGCGTCTTGTATTGGAAAGGAACTATAAGAGCAAACCCTCCGATCAGTGAATACTACTATTTGTATTTGTGAGATCAGGAAATCAAGAAGCTGACAAAAAGAGAAACGTATCGTAAGAAAAATAGAAATCGATTTACGTGTTACCCCATGTATTATTTTATATTACACGTATACTTATCTCATTCATCGTTTTTTTAACTTTGAGACTCTGCTTTATTTTCTATACAATAAAATGAAAATAGCGCTTATGTCAGTATCTGACAGAATTCTGCGCCGCCTGCAGACCATTTAAATGGGGTGATGTTTCCATTGTAAAGCTATAGATACATTCTAGTATACATAGTAACTTGCAGGCCTTTTTGAGCATTAATATCTATTAGGTTAGCTAATTGTACTATATATATTCGTTCAACGTAAGCCCATCGTCTCGAAAGCTTAGTAAGCTTACTTGCGCCTCAATCTACACAGAAATCTATGATAGAAGCATGCTCAACTCTCAGATATTTAGCCGATATATTCTTTCAGATTTGAACCAAATGCACGATTTTTACAGGAAGTTCTGGCAGAGTAACTGTGCGAGCGGGTTCTCAGGCGCTGCCTATGAAAACGGGGGATCCGATTAAGTTCAATGATTTATTTAACTGTCTCATATCGATAACATTTGCTATTTGAGAAAATAACTAAGACAAACTTTATTTTCATCCTGTTCTAAGCAAATTTGAAACGTATATCTCGCACGCTATCTATTCACAATTTTGGATCTTTAGGAAGAATGAAGTGGCTGAGTAGCCACATTTTGGGCCGAACTATTATTGGCAATTTACTTCTAGGGACCACCAGGAAACCCAGCTAGGGCGATGTGGCATGCTTTGTCGTAAAATACTAAGGCTGGAAGGACTTTCTCTTAGACGGACGGCTTTAAACTCAAGTATTAAGTATCAATAGGTATCAACTTTCACTTTAGGTTTATTAGTTACCAAAAAAATTGAGAACACCTAAACCCAAACTGTAATTACTATAATCAAGTTCGTACCTAAAATTTAAGCGGAAATCGCTGGAAACATAAATGAAAGCTATGTCGAATTAAAGAGGAAGATATGCAGAGGATCGCAAATCAATGACACCTTTCCTTGGCGGAACTTATCCCGATTAATGTGAAGACTGCAGCCTTTTTTTGTCTTCAGATTTTACTCATTTATTAGATAGTTTAAAAAAACAGAGTCATAAGCGAGAAAATATCTCATAATAGACCAAACAAATAGTTATTAATGAAATCTATGAAACGCAGAAAACAGTGGGGGACTCAGCGAATTCGAATTTACCGGCATTGGATACTACTCTGGGTTTCGATCAACCACAAAGCATATTCTTTGTTATCGTAACATATTAATACTGCAAGGTTTCGTGCACGTGTACCCCCTTCCTTCGCCCCCGCCCCACGAGAAACCAAATCCCTATTCTCAATGCTATCAGCTAAAACTAGGCGTCCGATAAGTCTTACGGTGCTAGCCAATAGGATAGGTACTCTAGGAAAAATGTTATATTTTTTAAGCATTTGCATATTTTTGGGATATATTTTGCACACGATATTTCAGCTTTGATATAACGGTGATTTGCACTCTGAGAGACTTTTTGCCAATTTTTCAGCTTCGATGCCAAGGAATTACGCTGTTTTATGCATCCATACTTGTGGAAGAATTATAGTAGTGCTAACATTTTGTATGTAAATAAATTGCTCTTCATCTAATCCGTCAATATGCCTCGAAGCAGCAATAAAAAGAATGGCATTGAGTTGCCCGCAGCCTTGAGCAAGCTTATACCGCTGTTTTGAAAGTAAACATTTTTTAATACTCCATATTTTATGATTCTGAAGATTCTTTTAAACAAACTTTATATATCAGGAATATTAACCTAACCTAACGTAACAGCTAAGCAACATTTATATTTGTCAGCAATGATTTAGAAGGAAATGAAATATTTTACCGTTGCAATAGCAGACAAGGTTATTTGGTTTACACGTTATACCAATTCATCCTCACCGGGGCCTCACCGGTGTTCCTAATTTAAATAATACGCAGTGAAGTCTTTTTGTAGTAGATTGGGTAGCCTATGCATAAGTTGACTTTAGCGAACGAAATTTCCCCTGTGCCTGAAACATCTGCGCCTTATTTTGCTTATGACTGATAGGATCGATAGCAAAAAGATCTTCCACAACGTTACAGATGAATATTCTTCGTATTATATAACCTTTGGTCGACGTTCAAAGTCTCAAGTGACTGATATGATTTTTCGAACGAGGTAAATGCTAAAAAATGCCCGAGAAATTTAAGCAGACAACAATTTTGTATCAATGTATGGATGTTGATTAACAATTTCCTGCAGAACACTAACAGCACTGAAAAAAAAACACTGACTAAGCGTCGGGGTAATCTACCCTATGTTTTGTTGTATGCATTTAGTCTTGTTTCAAAACTTTCGCGCACATATAGTATCCATTGGTCTGATTAAATCTTATCGCGGCGAAGGAAGGCAGTTTATCCACCGATAGCGTTACATATTCGCTTGAAGCGTCGTAATCAGCCATCTACAGAAAAGAGATGTTAGGTAAAAGATTATTATAGGTGTGCTGTATAATAAGCTTGTCTACGACTTTCACACTATGGAAAATGTCTGAATATTGACTTGGGCCCCTCTCTATAAAAGAAGTATTAGCTTAAAGGGGCCAGTCGACCCAAACGACTGGCCCCTTTAAACTGGGTATACACGATAAACTTCGCGGAGTGTCTATAACTATTTACTCAGAAATTGGTAACTCTCTTATTATGGCGGTAGATTACTGAAAAGTTCACCATATATAGAGTGATTCATATTAGATTGTAGACTGATGCCAAAGCGGTACCGTTACATTCATTAACTTTTCGAGTCTTAGGCATCATAACCTTGCAGACTGATTGACTGCGAAGTTTGAAGTTTAATCGTACCAAACGTATGATTTCTCAGTAGTGAGATAGTCTACAGAGATTGTTTTACAAAAGTTTATTTTTTTTTTACCGAGCACGTTCGCTCCATTATACAGGCATCTTATGAAAAATAGATAGCTTATCTCTGGCTTTTTCCTTTTCTAATAAAACGATTTAATAAAGTCAAACAACTCCTTTAGACCAAGTGTCTCGTGTAAGTTCCTAAAAGGAGTAGCTATCACGATTTGGTAGGACGGAATGAGCCGGAACCAGCAAACGATTTCTAGAAATAATAAAACAATAATTTTTTAAAAAGTAAGCAACAAAACCGTGGATACGCCTCTGGCTATGTTCTACGACGACTAATATACCCAATGAGGTAATAAAAACCTTCGAAATTCAATAGAGTATAAATGGATTGTGCGATTGTTCAGGTGTTGTGTGTTAGCACGCATATTGGAAAAAAACCTTCGAAAACAGGAACAAGAATCTTCATTTTGAATAGACTGTCGATAAAAGCTGAACTCGTAAACGAAGGGCTATTGTGCAAAGGGACGGAATCTCTTCACACCGCCTAAATAAATGACATTCAAAACATGCGTTTTTGCTCTCAAGACCTTGAGACACTCCCACGATATTGTTATATTTGAGCGCTGACGCAATTGCCATGTGATAGATTGCTTGACATTATTCGTTAAGCCTCTAGGGCGTCATCGGATTCTCAGAGACTCATAAAATGGGACGATGGTTCTGACGGCCATAAATTACCCGTAACTCGTTGCAAAGGCGCGATTAAAAAAGCCTGTTGCCTAAAGAAACCTAACGGAGTTTAAGGCAAATATTACGGCTCAGCGTAGCCTTTAAAGTGGTACTAGTGAATCGCAGATTGAAAGACGACGATAACTTTTAGACGTAGACGTAAGTTTTGCTCGCGATCACGTTCATCAAAACTAAGAAATCTCGTGGTTTCTAGTCATCTACCAATTTCGAAGATTTCTTTGATGTGTCCAGATGCTGATGAGCTTAAAAATCTCAGAAAGGAGTAAAGAGACAAATTACTGAAAGCAGTAAGCCGATCATCTTATGTTATTTCCAACGTAGAAAACACAAATTTAATTTTCACTTTTCTAGTTCTAGTGAAGTCACGTTTTGTGACCGTATAAAACCGGATAAATAATACAAAAAAAATCGTTCGTTTCAAATTTGACACGAATTTGAATTATGAAGAAGTAAAAAACGGTCCTAGATTAATGATCAGTTAGTTAGATCAATTAGAGGAAAGGAATCAGCAATGATTTCGCTTGATTGTTGGAATACCCAGCCTTTGCCATGCAATACTTGGCTCTTTTTCAATACGTATATAGATACATGGTACTACATATTTCGAACTGAACAATTATAGAGATATTTTATAGAAACCATAATATTTTGCTCGAAATTATACTTGGCCTTTAAATTTTTAACCAAACGTTGGCGTCCTATGGGTTGTTTGCATTAGTTTTTTTTTTACGAAAATAATGACTAAGAGGATGATGACGACGTTCGGAACAGTATAATTTTAGAAGTTAATAACTTTCTAAACGTTCTGTATTTGTTATTTGATCCTCGAACAAACGACAAAAGCTTCAAGTGTGACACCGTTAGCATTTGTGGCGTATGTACGAACTTAATACTAAGCGTCAGCACGTTTTCTAGATAGAACATTGTTTCTTTTAAATGGGTAAAGGCGTCATTGTATGCAGCTCAGCTAGCGTAAAACTACTTACGCCTAGAGGCTTGAAAACGAGGGCACACTTGTGCGTCGTAGCAAATAAAAATCTTAGGCCAAATGGAGAAGACGGAACTAAATACTTTGTTCACGTAAGAGCTAGCATTCAGCCCCGATGTACCACAGGAGTCGTATCTATATGACATTGACGCCAATCCAACGGATATAGGATGATAAGCTAAGACGGACCTTGCTACTCGTACGATTATGTTATAAAACGGTAAAACAATTAAGTACTATTTCAGCGATACTGGTGCTGGCCAAGCTGATAGTTCTATTGGTTACACCGTGTCTACCGGCAAATGCTTCTGTGTCAAATGAATAAGAGGCGTATTCAAATTATACGTAACGTGCGAAAAGAATATCTTTTTTTTGAGATGCATAAATCTAACACAGACAAATTACCGATTAGATCCGATAACGTGCCGAATAAAATCCCATGTGTCAGGTCTCTCCGATAGGTCACCTAACACCGGTTCTGTTCTATACCGCTATCAAAAGCTTCGATGTCACCTACAGTCAGACAACTAGGAAGGCGTTCCTTTGCGGCGAGAGGCAATATGCCTATATCTTGAAACCAAGTCTGTCGAAATAGTGGCATTGGCATTTTAATTGAAAATCGAAAGTGTTCCAGCGGCAATTTTTCTCTCATGGATATTTTTCCATGTGCAGTAATTGCGCATCTTCAGCCTATTGATTGAACGCTTTACTACAAGGTCAGGTATTATATTGTTTTTTTTTTCCACACAAGGAAGAGTTTAGATGTGGGCGTTTTACCTCAGGTATTTTGGCTGGTCAATCGAGGTTCGTGTGCACATTACCGGTGCAGACACATACCCGAAAATTTACTTTTGATATAATTTGACGTTTGTTACCGAAGTAACGAGGTAGAAAGATACCGAGCTACTAGCACTGCTGCTTCGGAGTCACAATGACGACACGCGAGTAAATCTGTCGTTTGTACGTATCAAATGTTCGGCCTTAGCTCACGCTATCCAACTGTCGATGGAAGCTAGATAGAGTTCCAGTTAGTAGATTGAAGCCTATCACATGTTCATATAATTAGAGCTTTGGACGAACGATTCAACTTGTGTGACTCTCGGCATTTTTTAGGTCTCGTACTGACACAATTTTAGTCTTTGGCAATGCTTAAAAATAGCCGTGGCTTCACTAGAAAAACCTACTTACCTCTTCGCTGATCTTATCTATTACATTGAGACTAACTTCCTCAACGGTCGTCCAGCGGGGAAATGTTAGCCAGGTATGACGGGGTCGCAACGCGTGCAAATTTTGCCGAGACCTAAGTAATAATCAGCTAGGAACTCACTCGGGGCGTACAATTATTATTTGTAGAATACAAAGAAGTACTGACGTTACCTCCTGAACATGAGTGAACGTTGCATTTGACAAATACAAATTGTTTCTTACCTCTTTTTCCTCCGTCGCATTGATACATCAACACATCCTTTTTATACAACCTAACATCAACTAGCACTGTCCGTTCGCGTACGCCAATGGCGGCACGTGTCGTACGAAAGCTGCCCAGATAGTGCAGCGCGCTTCACCGTCAGCCCTCCTATGACTCGGTCACAACCACTGTGGACCATAAAACATGCGCACAACAGTTTAGCAAAACCGGCTTTGGAGAGAAGCAGGGCCGCTTGCCAAGGAGAGGGCACGCAACGGCGTCGCCTTCGCAAGCGCTGTTGCTTACAGCAATATCGACTGAAACTGCAGACAAGAAATCAAGTCGATATTGGGAAAGAGAAGGCTAGGGGGCGGGAGATAAATTCAAGCGTAAGGCGCGCGAATCAACGATTATGAGACAGCTCATTCATTTTAACGTGGATATTAGTCACAATAAAGTCACACTATGCAGTCGGATCCAATAGATGCATTAGGCCTATGAAGTCAACATAATTCGATGCTAATTCAGTCTATAAAAGTTTCTATGTGAAATACGCCTCTGCCTACGCGACATCGCTGTAGGCAGTAGGTGATAGATAGCCTGTAGCATGAATTTTAATTGTAAGAAGGGAAAAATTCGTTCACACTACCAGCGATAAAAGATTCAGTTTTTTATTCAGCCTTGCCTTTATCCTATTCATAGTTTTCCTGGTGGCGGTTGGGACGGGTCATAGGATAATTTGCTGTTTTGGGCTCTCGCGCTCCACGGTGTAGCGCTGCCATAGCTTCTATTGGTACCGTTGCAAGAAGGACTGGATGGAGCCCGCCGAAATAAGTAAGGGTGATGAGTTTCCACAGATAAGAAAGGGCAAAAGCGGTTGAGAAAGGGCATTTCTACAAACAGTAATTGAACCGAGAATCATATCGTCTAATAGCGCTAGTACAGCGAGAGTTAAAAAAAATCGAGAGTTTGAGGGGAGAAAAGAGGTGTCGGCTAGAAGTAGCGCCGGGTGGCATTTCAACCGCTCGAACAGTCAACAAAGCGTGAGGCGTCTGAACGAGACGAGACGTATTGCACGCAAGCGTATAGTAATACTATAGTTACCCAGTACGAATGACACGTAACCGGTAAACCGAGAAAAATCGCTTGTTCGCCTACAATGAAGTGACTAGAGAGGCTACAATTCGTTCTATTAACACTGGTCAGTACTGGAAAAGTTTATCGCATCCGCGCAGCGGTCGAAAAAAGGAAACAGACATTGGCCCACTGAAAAGCAGCACGACCATGGCAAAAAACGGGACGACCACTAACGACCTAACGAAGTCATCCGCCATAAAGGTAAGAGTGAATTATAATCATGCCCGATGTGTTGTACTTACTGCAGAAGTATGTACCACCCATTGGAGGAATGGAAACGACAGGTCAATAATCAGACATGATTGACATGTTATCAGTGTCTCTGTCGACTCCCATTATCCGTAAGGCACAATATCGATTGTGATAGAGTTAGGTTTAGCTACCTGAATGTAACCTGGCAGTTCTAGTTTCATCTGTTCAGTTCCCTCGTTTGGTGCTTCTGTAAACCCTCGGCGGTGGAACAGCAGCAATTCTGTTAGTAATTACCTTTAGCTATGTGGCATCGCAATATAGTATAAGGCCGACACATCTAACGTGCAGAAAAGTCACTCCTCCATGCCAAAAAACAGCACAAGGCACGTGTAGCCAACGCAAAGTGTACACGTGTGCGCGCTTTGAAAATAACCTAATTATCTGCGACTGGAAAAAAAGTATCCAGGTGCACAATAGTCGAAATGTACTTTCGTCTCCTTCGTAATCCAACTTGTTTTAGCCGGTAGCAGAACTTGACGGTTCCGAAACGTTAATCGACGTAAAGTTGTTCTCCTTTTAAGTCGTGTTGTCCTCATTTTCTGTCCAACAGCTATCTCGCTATGGAAATAGACATGACGTTTTACGAAGCGGCAACTTGATAAAAGCTTACAACCGTAAACAAGCGCTATGCTTGTGAATTTGTCCAGCAACATTTCGTGTTTATATAAGAAGAAAAACTCACAATCAAACGTTTGTCAGGACGCCAATGAATGGAAGCGGTATGGGTTACGAGTAGCCTCTGTCGTTCTGTGCGACGATAGAACGACAACTTTGGCCAGCCAGAATCGACGTGGAAACTCACCGCGTATAGAAAATAACGATCAGTTCGATATCGTCAATGTTAGATCCTAGCTAGCTGACAAAAAGCACTTGTAGAGAGTCATTGTGACGATCGTTTGTGCTGTTCATGTCTAGGATCCGGATGCGTAGTATAGGGTATGATAGATTTATTTGAGCCATCCTAACGATCATTTCGGACTATCTGAGATGTGAACAATGGGAGTAAACGCTTCGCGTACCGACGCAAAAGTGGCTTCAATTGGCAATTGAATAGAAACGAAATTCTCATGCTGTATCGTATTCTGAAGTCTATAATTTTGCGCACCATCTAAGAGCAGAGGTTCGTTGCTACAAATCAGGTATTCGAATTTGTTCGATAACTATCTCTGTTCTCTCCCGTAAGTATACTATGACAACAGTGGCATTATTTCGAAATTCTTAGGCACGTTTTTTATGGGCGGCGATACATTGTTTTTTGCCGTCTGTGACCAGCATGATGTATTGCAGAGGAATGTACTAATGGACAGCGTTTCATCTCTTACTATTGGGTAACTATTGACTAATGATTATTGAAAATAGCAGACAAAATTACTACCTGCCAGACTACCTATACATAAATCGATGGTAAACGATAGACGCTTGCTCCAATAGCCAAGCGACCTGTGACAAACGCGTAGATCAGTCATTTTTTAGCAGACTAGATCAAAAGATTGACAGTAACGAATATGCCTAGTGGCGTGTCTCAATTTTCATTTTTTTCTCATCCTATTTCTCTTTTTTCAAATAGCCATCATTCATCACGATTGGAACTTCTACTCAAGACTCAATCCACTAACTCGTCACTTTCAAAATATTCCATCGTCATTATCTGAAGAGAACTTTTCAATAGTTAACTGTAAATCAACAATTTAGACAATAATATTTTGTCCAGATTAGCTCTCACCGGTTAGTCGTTTTGCGTTCACCTTATGTTCTTTTGGGTCTTCTATAAGTTAAATATTTAATTTTTCTAAAATTTTCTGTACGCAGCGTATCTTGTCGAAATTGTCGCTAATTATCGTATACAAACATTCAGATATATCGAAACTGGCTTCTTAAACTCTTTAAATTTAAGCCTCACATGAAAGCCTTTCTCGAGCTTTTCAGAAGCCGTATAATAGTTAATAATAGCGTAGATCATCGATATAGAACCAAAAAAGTCTTCATACCCACGTCTCGTTATGCCCAGTGCGAAATAATTAAATAATAGCGATCTTCGTTAACATTCCAAAACGACGAACATTTCTCCATCAGGACAACCTTGTTACTCTTTTTTTTTTTTTTTTGCCTAGAAAGAACCGGTTCCGGCACCAGTAGTAGCGAGTTACGGTGTGCCTATTACAACAGGCAATTCGTCAAAGTTCCTCCCAATTTGAACGCATTATCCTGTATACATGTTATCTATTCTATTTGAACCATTTCGTGAGCCCACACTCGAGATAGAAGCCAAGAAATGACCAAAGAGCATGGCAAAACGTATTTCTTCCGTATTCTATCAGGACTAGACACTTCCCACATAGTCGGTTCTATATATATCTTATACTACATCGATTTGCACTAAATCGACCAGTGTTTTTAATAGTATCGTCTTTTATTGACGCATTTTGTTTAGTATGTATTGCTGGAGAGATTTAAGGCAGTGATCCTTGTTTTTTTTTTCTAAATAAAGATTCATTAGCTGCACCCATTATGGAAAATTTTAAGCTAGCCTCAAAAACCTGCTGTGTATGCTCTCTATTATTATACAAATATACCAGCTTAGTTCCTATTGACGGGTTCCTCTGGTTACTTGAAGTGACCATAGCAGTTCAGCGGCGCGATCTTGCTTGATTTTAGCTGTGGCCATAACAAGAGATCATGCTGTTTTCGCTTGGTCAGAACTCCACGATATTATACGAGAACAGTGCTATAAAAATCAATCCCCAAATGGAAGCAATGCCAGATTTGTACTCCCATGACAATAGCTAGTGGATATTGAAACGTAGATCCTTCGCTCAAAAATCTAGGGGGGGGGGGGATAAAAGCAACAATTTTGAACCATTTTATTTGTGGATGCAATATAAACTTTACCAACTCTCTACGGTATTTCAGATTCCGGATGACTACGCCGGATATCCACTGAACTCATTCTGCATTCCTGCTCACTACTCCGAGGACCTGGAAAGAATTCTGTTGCCCTGCGGCCTCATTTTGGACCGCGTAGAACGGTTGGCGAAGGACATAGCTATGTACTATCAGGACCAAAGTTTTTCGGCATTTTGTGTCCTTAAAGGCGGCTATAAGTTTTTCGCCGACCTTCTCGACCGTGTGAGGCAATACAACCGTTTTGCGGGGCATAGTTCTGTCCCTTTCTCAACTGAATTCATTCGTATTAAAAGTTATGTGGTAGGTTCATAGCTGAAAGTCTTTTTACCTTCGTTTCACTTATAAAAACGATTTCGTTGCTTTGATTTTGTACTCCCGGGTTTGATTTAAAGGCAATTTCTGTACGTTTTCTGAGAACTCATGTAACTGTTATCAGTTGCGTGCAGTTACGTGTAGTCAATGTAAACATTGTAACACCACCTGGACGTAATAATCCGAAATGGTCCTCAGCATGACACGGGCAAGGCCTCTATTGTGAATTGGGGCTGAACGGTTTCAGCGTGATGCAATGAAGCACTTCACATACGAAACCTATGTTAGATGTTTTTCTAACGTACTCATGTATTAACTTTTTTTTTGCAGAATTGTATAATATTCATAGGATTTAATTTTCCTCGATTAGTGCATTTTGACCAACAAAATATTTCATTTGCTGTTTAAAACTGTAATTCCGTTTGGGAAGTTTTTCTGTCATCTGCTGCTACTACTTAGTAATGAAAAATACTCTGAAGAACCCTCAAATTACAAACATAAATTGAAAAACAATATTAGGGACAATCTTATTATATCTCATAACCATTTTTTTTTGGTACTTTTCCCAGATATACTTTAAATCGGACGCTTTTTTTAAACTAAATGAATCGTCTTTCAAACAATTATTTAAAACATGTCTGAAATCATTAGAGGTGAAAATGGTATCTTTATAACAATATTATATATAATTAATCTAACTCTAATTTTTTTTACAGGATGGTCAATCTACCGGAGAAGTTAAAATGATTGGGCTTGATAATTTCGACAACATTCGAGGCAAAGTAAGGTTTTTTTAGTAGTTTTAAGTTCTGTCACATTCTCCCAGGGCGATGAACTTTCTCGTTAGCCAAAGGTCGACCATCTAGACTCTCAACTTCGCCTGAATTGTTCTCTATTATAGCAAGCGGCGTAATATGAATATATTCGGTAGTGTGGAATTGTAAGCATTATGCTTTGTTATTGGGTTTCAGAGATTCCAGCCGAATTTTAATGTTCTCAGAGCTAATTCTTTATAGATGATTTCCCTTACTTCTTGTTACAAGAGGCATGGTATTGTCTTGAAATGTGCTTGCAGGGAAACAGGGAAAAATAGGCTACAAATTTTTTTTCATGAAGCCTTTGGACACTAATTAAACCTTCTTAGGGTTGGGCAGCTCTAAGGAGAAGAAATTCTTATTACTAAGACCCAACGTTTCGTGATCTTTTTTGGTAGGGCTCTTTTTTCTAAGGCTGGAACATCTCTTAACCCCGCTGATTGTCTATTTCCTAGTAAACGTGATGATAAATGTTGCGTAGATAAAGTAACTGAGCGGGTTGAGACAAATGTTTCTAAATATAATCCCACTGAGGTAAAAATATCATAAATGTAATAGTTGTTTTTCGCGCTATCCGCTAGTCGTGTTCGTAGAAATTAAAAGCAACACTCACATATCTTAATTAGAGATAATTTTTGTTACACATTTTTTTAATTATTACTTTTATTTTGTTGCGACTTGCTTGTAGAATATCCTCATCGTGGAAGATATCATTGATACAGGCCGCACAATGGTTGCCCTTTTGGAACACCTCAAGGAATATGAACCGCGCGAAATCAAAGTGGCTTCACTCTTCATCAAGCGAACTCCTTTTAGCAACGGTTATCGACCTGATTGTAAGTAAATACTTCAGCGAAAACGATTTGGTTAGATTATATATATATATATATATATATATATATAGCTTAGGTACTAATGTTGCACCTTATTTTGATATTAGTCAATGCACTTCGTTAGAACTAAAACTTTAAGCCTATAATTTAATATGAAGTAGGTAACGGTAGAAAATATAGAGTAGGCGTCCGGCCATGGTTATTTCGTGCTGTAACGACGTTTGTATGTTAACTACAATGCCGTGAAAACTCCGATTGACTTTTTCAGATATTGGATTCGAGACTCCAGATCGTTTCCTTGTCGGCTATGCCCTCGACTATAATGAACGATTCCGTGACCTCAGCGTAAGTACTTCATCATAAATCAATTATGCCGAAAACAAAGTTATTTTTCGAGCGGGAGTTGGTATTTTCCAGTGCCTTCTTATCTGACAAATCCGCATCAGAGCTATTAATTTTCGTGCTTACCTAAGTTTGATAGCTCACGACACTGAAAATGCAGATGCTGAAAGAGCAGAAGCAGGCTTTTAGGCACCAGAACGGGCGGACACGGCAATAACTCTCGAAAGACTGTTTGACTAAAAAAATAAGTTTGGATTTTTTTATGTTAATCGTTCATTTTACCTATCGGTTGTTGGTATCATTTAATGGCCAAAGTTGCTCCTAGCGTATTATAGAAAGATCCAGAAAAAGCTTGATAGCTTTGACCTCAGCAATTGGCCCCACCGATTGCCCCTCTTAACTGCTTTGCAGCCTTTCAATCTTAAAATTGGCTACATGTGGAATGAGCTTAATCTGGGATAGTTTCACACGGTACTTGAGCCTAACGCAAGCCTCATCTAAAAGAATCTTGGGGTTGCACCTGACGACCCGTAACTCGAAATGTGTTTGCAGAATGAAAAAAACAGGGAAAAATAGGCTACGAAATTTTTGTCATGAAGCCCTTGCACACCAACTAAACTAACCTCTTGGCAGTAACGCCATTGAATGCCAGGAACTTCTGTCGCCGTTCCAATTGATCAGCAAGTTTAGCACTCTAAGAAAACGTAACAGAGTGGGACTGAAAATCTGCAGAAGAAGATTTCCACTAAACAAAGGTCTTGACAGACGAGACCGAAAAACAGCTTTTCGCTATATGCCTATCAAACTGGTTCCTATGTAGGGTCCATTCCAATTTGTACCATGCCTCTCGCTGAAATTCAATTGCTAGCCAGCCTGGCTTGGTAGTAAACGGAAAAATAGCAGAAACATGGTGTATCATATGTAATGCAATAATTTTCGTAAATCCTAAGGCGATCATCTTTAGAGAGGGAGACTAATTTTAGAGAGGTTGTTTCTTTCTCTTCGCAGGCCGTCATATGTATCGTATAGGATTGTATGGAAAGCCGAAAATGAATGATTGATAAAGGCATTTATTTACCAGAAGACAAGTGGTAGTACAAAATGTAGTGTTTTCGGTGAAGGTCAACAGTATTTACTCGATTGAATCTGAAATTTCGGTTTGGCCTGGCACCATCTATACCGCTAATTATCGTTTGTTCGTTTAATTTTAGCACGTCTGCGTGATCAGTGATGTCGGCCGTCGAAAGTACGCGAGCATCAAGTAAAACTGTGTAGCGTGTAAGTTCGAACGGGCGGAAAAGGACACGAGCATAGCTGCGTATGTGATTCATGTAACAAGTAGCAGCCAAAATCATATATTTACCATTAAACTGCCACATTACCATATCTGATCAGCTTAAAAATTGTCATATGGTCTTATAATAGTTGTTGACTTCGGATCCGGCTCCGCGTTATTATTCCAAGATGAAAGTAATTACATCAAAAGCGCGTTTGGTAAAATAATAAATATACGCGTGAAAATAATAAACGGTAAACTTTGTTTCGCTGCGAGGCGGAAACATTTTCGTTTGTTTATCACCTTAAGCACTCTATTATATATATATATATATACCGTGGGTTGTTTTGTCATCAGCAGATGAAGCCAGCTGCGGGCAAATACCGAAGGAGAAAAAAACAACGATAATCTTCACGAGCGTAATTATCCATGTCTCTAGTCTATTTCTACAAAAGAGACGTGTTAGAGAGCGGCTAGCGCAAGTGATGAGTACAATGCTTTGTATAATTATATCAAATAATAGTCATTTTAATAATGACTGTAGTATGTTTAACTATGTATATAAATAACCGTAATTTCTATCTCTAATTGTTCATACACTCGAGCATAAACGTATTTTCTGGGTTTGTTAGCACCTATCATCAGTGCCTTTCATAACACTTGCCTGGAACGATCAAACAATTTGTTTCCGTAAGACTATATATATATATATATCTATCAGCGAGCACACCTTTATGGTCCTGTTTAAGCATTTTGCTAAGAAAATATGCTTCAAGGGTACTAAAAGTCAGGCCTGAGATTTTTTTTAACGAATTTGTATATCGCATCATGCCTGTACTATAGGCTGTGGTAAATTGACACTATTTTTATGACGCAAGCTTTTCATTGTTATTAAAAAAATACCTTCTTTTATCTAGATCTTGTGAAAAAATAGAAACACCATTTAAGCAGGAGAACTAGTGTAGCCCCGCAAAAATTGTTCGTTTACCTCAGCTTTTACAACACACCCTTAACAAATTCCCGAAACAACTTACTGAGAAAGAGTTTACATTTATAAGACATTAAGTTTAAGATTGTTATAAACCTGCTACTTGTTCACTTCTTCACATGGCGATCTTTGCCATGTTGAAAAAAACATCTTTAAAGTACTTAATACTCATTACCTCATCGCAGACTCAGCTGAACTTTACAAACATAATCCAAGCGCAGGCCGATAAACAGTTTTTGAAAAAAGCAAAAAATCCACACAAGATGCTAACAGCAAACGCTAACTACGAAATTGATTCACCATATTTTCTATGCCGATACCCGCCAGAACAAATACGAGGCCACTCGTTTATGTTTCTGTATATATATAGTTGGCCCTTGTTAGTAGTTGTAGTTTTTCCTAATTTATTAATAGTATTTGCTTGCACCGCTAATAAGCTCTTCTTGTACAAGCAAAATCCTACAGGAAGTCTGCGTACCGGTTAAGCATTCCTGGACGGTTTTCAAAATGAGCCTTATTCCAGTAAATCGTACCCTGCTAAATTCCCATTAAATTGAGTGTTCACCGATTTAATGCTTGTAAATTGCTTGTAAGCTTAAATAAGCTGCTGCTGCTCCCGTTATTGCGGGCAAGATTATACGTTTCGAAAGTGACGTGTCGTGCGCTTCACACACTTCATCGATAGGTAAAACTGGTTCAACTACTGGAACAAGGGCTGAAGTGCAATAGTAGGCCAGTCAATGGCGGAGACACTATTTGAAAATCCAAAAAACATAATCAATTATAAGCTCAGGCGAACTTTAAATAAATACGACACAATAACAAACCTATATTGGCGTATTTTGATTTTCTGCGTATTTTCCACTTCTTGATATTGTGAGGTATTACACTTCGAGCCGCGGTCAGGCTGAACGCGTTACTACGAAGGTACTACGTGATGTCTTTCTCAACACTGGACCTTTTTATTGACTTTACGTACGAAGGTTTTCTGGTTCTGAAACTTGCATTCGTGCTATGAGCATAATTTATACTATTTATTAGTTGATCTGTTTTTACATTGCCAGCATCTCTAACTGTATGGAGGGCAGCTAAAGATTTCATGGTTGCTATCGGTGACAATCTGACATCGTCTTCTGATGGCTTTATGAAAAAGGACTGTCTTTTGATTGACACATGCAGACTACTCGCGTAGGTTCTGCCTAGAGAATGTTTGTGTCCTGAATCGATTACCTAATGCAATAAAAAATTCATTTTCTATTTTGTTCATTGTTGCACGTGAGTTAAAATCATTCAAACTGAACTTGAAATTCTTCGTCCTTTTTAACCGATTTCTGTGACTGTTCGGCACCATAAAGACTTCTAGGACGAAAGAGCGAATATGATGGGATGAACGGCGTTGCTTTTTTAGGACACAGCTAACCTCCTAGCTTTTTGCCAGCTTGAAGATCATCCATATTGGCAATCGATTGTAGCTGAGCTTCCAGTTGCCTCACATCGTCGCTTAAATTGACGATTTTTTCGTTCTTTGGTGAATTTGCCCCTTGCTTTGAGATGACCCCATCTAGAAACCTGTGTAGGTCGTTGGGCCGTTTGACTTTGTCAAACTGTGGCCGTTAGTACCTTATCCACGTATTGTTTCGTATTTCACGTTATTAACTATATTCATGAATGTTTCTTTTATATTATAGGTTGTAGCCAGTAGTATGTGTGACCTCTATCTTCCTGCACTGTCTCAAGGAATTTCTTGAATATCCCTTTTTCAAACAATTCCAGATTAAGTTGTTCCTAAGGCTTATACAGATTTTTTTAACTCTGAATAAGGAAGATCGTTAAGGCCTTATTGGGCTGCTGAAAAAATCATGTATGCTCTTGAGATTCTATTCCAAGAATCCTTATATTGATACCTTTAATGACCAATGACTACGAATAATATCAGCAACTTCTGTGCTGCGATCTTGCCAGAGATAGATCGGCGTGACTCATTCAACGTGCGCAAAAATCAAATCCCAAACGATGACCATATTTAATAAATTCTTCTTGTAAATATACGTCATGATGCTAATATACATATATCTAATGGTAGGAATATATAAAAATCTAAAACTACCTTCGTATTGATTGACACGGAGAGAGAGAGATAGAGAGAGAGAGAGAGAGAGAGACGGATACCGATTGGCAATATGAGCCTCCATTGAATTGCCAAAATGTTGTTAGGCAAACAGAGATCGCAGCACTGTTATTAGAGTTTTTTTTTTTGCCTTTAAGCCGTATTACTATTTTTCAGATCGATTCAGTCTTTAAAATCTTTTGTTTTTGCTATAATTAGAGACATTGTGGGAGTGAGTGACTTGATATTAATACGTCTACGAGGTGTTCAAGCGAATCGCTCTTTTTTTTTTTATTTAAACTTTAGGGGGGTGACAGCAGTTGCCAACGGAGCGTTGAAAAAGAACCAGAAATTAGATGAGTTTTCAAAATGTCGATCTTTGATATTTGGACAACCCAATAAAACCCAGTTTTTCTAAAATCATCATCCTAAAAGGCATCATTAAGACGTTTAGAATCATTGAAAGTTACTATTTACGTTCCTTTCGATTGTTTTTAGTCACGTATTTATTACGAGTTTTTCGGTTTGACCTAAATTGTAAACGTTCGAAAGCTTCGTCTAGCGACAAGTATAGCGTAAACCGTCAAATTTATAATTTCGGTGGCACTCATTTCGGCGCAAAAATCTTTTACAATAGCTGCTCTTCATTTACGCTCTGAGGATGAACATTTTGCCTGTGAAATTACTAGCACGTAAATTATACACATAAAACAAGAACTTATCTAGTGCTAATGATAGCGGGTACTACCTATTTTTGGTGCATTAGTAAAACTGCTTTCAAAATCTTAGCGAGCACCCTGTGTAATACGTATCGAGTGCTCCTTATCGAGCCATAGGCAGAAAACCACTTGTGAACGGAGTCTGAGTCGAAATAATTGAGTGCCACCGAACATGAGCCGTTGACGTTCTGATTTCTTTAAGTTGACATATTTAGCCCCATGAAATGAGACAATGCGGCATCTTTTAAACGTTCAATTTTCGACAAAAAAAAGTGCGGGAAATACCTGAACATAACTGCTACTAGGTTCTAACGTGAGCTATTATTAAAATAGCGATTTATAGGCTTGTTTACTAATTAACTCAACAGACTAGTTCCGGCCCTGACTTTATTTCTAATAGTCCTTACTACGCGCCGCGTACTAAATGTTCGCTAACCTGCGGACCCAATCGTCGATAAGAAAAACGTATAATAGGCTCGCTAATATTTATCGAGCGCGTTCGAAAGATTTGATCGACTGTCGTTTTAGGTAGGCGGACAGCTGACTTTCAATAACCCGTTAGGTTGGCTGCAATGGAGCTGTAGCACGCTTTTGCTTTATTTTAATATTTTATTCTAAAATCAGGATACTGTCGTCATAGGGACTAACATTCGGAATTTTAAAAAAAGTGGCCCGCGTATCGTTAGAAATCATAATCGTAAGAATCTTGTTACGTCACCATTTAGGTACAGCGCCCCGCAATAGAATCCAGTGTTGTTTGGCGCATACGTGCTCCTGCTCGATTCTGTCTAATAGATCTTTCAGCCAGCGTCTCAACACGGGTACTTCGTGCACTAACTCATTGAGCTTCGCTTCCCTAGCCAGTAAACTTCCCCACGCGTTAGCCAACGCCTGATGCCCGTCCACCATCTTCTTCGCTCTCCGTTTCAGAGCCTCTCTCTCCACACTGACTTTGAAGTGTTCTTTTTCCAGGTCGTTCTGCCATTCCCGGAGGTATTTACTATATTTTCTAGCAAAACTCTGAGCCTGATCATTTTGTGCCTCGAATAACTGCGGAACTTCCTCAAGATCTGCCAGAGTCAGCACGTAGTCCTTCGGCATCTCCTGGCTTACCAGCACTACTTGTTCGATGTAATTAATTGCTTCGCGGAGCCCCCGAGCTGCCTGAAGTTGAGCTTCCCGTTGCCTGGCCTCGCCAATCAAGCGGGCAATATTTTTGCCCCTACTTGTATTCCATTCGGGCTGCTCGACGGCTGCGTCCAGTAATTTCTGTAGCTTCTCGTGAAGCATATTAATTTTTTTGGCCTTGTGCGTGGCAAGCAGTACGTTGTCCATGTATTTTCTCATGTCGATTAATATCTTATCCAGCTCTTTCGTTTCCTCCTCGAGCTCTAGCTGTTCTTTTTGAAAGTCTAACCTATCGGCCGTCAGCTTTTCAAAGTCGGCAGCATAACACTCCTGTTCAGCGGCGAGTTGCTTCGATGTGTTTTGCTCTAGTGCCTGTATTAGAGCTTCATTCCGTTTGTCCTGGTCGTTTGGGCGTAGGTCGCCTTTGCACTCCATCTGTGAATTCTGCGCTGATTGCTGCCCCTCGAGAGCTGGGCCACCACTGGGCATTTCGTCATCTGGATGACTATGGTCGCGCCCTCCTGCAAGCACCCGATTCGACAGTCGCTTCAACATTCGTCGACCGTCATGACGGTTCCGGTAGAGGAAACCGGGTAAATCCATATTACTCTCCGTCAACCGCGCTCTGTGTAAGTCAGTGAGATCCACGGGAACAGAAGAAGAATCAGTTAAGGGGGACAATGATAGCCTCGCTATCAAAACCCCGTTGCCCAGTTAAGTCAATCGAGCGACAAAAACTACGTTAGTCCAGTTGAATTGATCAGTTACCCGGAAATACCTATAATTAAAATTGAAGAATTTTTTAGCAAACGTTTTGTTGTTTTCACGGCTTAACGACCACCCTTCGATTATTATTTTTAGTTCGCCCGCCGCTTCTGATGAGTAAAAGTCTTTTATAAGATCGGCAATCGTAACTTGTATTCAACACTTGTATAATATATTCAATATGAACTTTATCAAGTTCGCGCAACATTAAATGAGCTTCACTCGCTAACCGGAACGTGCCTACTACCGACATATCTCGACTCATTTTAAGATAAATGACCCTATTTCGGCTATCTCTAATATTGCGCCTAGTGGATCCCTAATGTCGTCCATAAAAGACGCTGTTTAAATGGTTACCTTAGTGTCCATTCAACGTGTTCTTTCTATTTCATTCGTGACATCAAGCATTGTAGAAGCCGTTGTTCCTAAAAACCGAAGCATCTATACATCATCTAAAAAATGAGTTAAAATTGCGTATGCTCGTTATGAGGTTATCGTTATGGAAAGCAGGAGAAACGTCCGGCTTTCGAGGACCAGTTATCAGGACGTTGTTAGGTCATATTATCGAACAGCCATACCTGTTAATTTTAAAAATAGTTCTATAAAACGTATACGTATGCGTGGAAAAAAAGTCAAGCGAGTTCCTCTTTTAAATTTACACCCATGCATTTGTAATAAAAAAAAAAAAGATAATAATGTTTTACATACAAATCTTCTATGCTTCAATATTTTAATGTACGGCGAAATAGGCCATGATGATTATGATGTGATCGAACTGCGTTATCGGTTTACGATAACAATAGGTACTTTTTTCGAATCGCCGGGCCGCCGTTGGGCGATCGTGTGCCTCGATCCAATATCGCGAGTTCTCTCCCTTAAAAGAAATGTGTGTTTTTTTTTTTGTCAGTGACCATATGGTCTAGAGCCAATCCGTCTTGATGATTTTGCAATTATTCAGCATACAGAATCATTGAGCGAATCGCACATATGGAGCCACCGTATATTATCATATTTGTATACACGTGATTTCTCTATTCTATAAATGTATGTTTGTTTTAACCTGGATTCCGACCTGGACATATTTACTCACTGTGGTCACGACTTCGGTTCGGATATGGCACATTTTACAAAACTTTCAGGCATAGTTTCGAAATTGGCAAAACTGTTTTCGTGGCTCGATATTCTGAATTCAATGGCCTCAGATTACTGGCTGATAACATGTTAAACGTTTTAAAAATTCAAACAAATCCAATGATAACCGATGTTGTCGAGTTCAGCCAATAATTTCTGTGCATCTGAAAATATCAGAAATAGCAAAACATTTTCAACCTTTTTCGATTCAGTCTTTATTGTGGATCTTCGACTCCGACGGCCGGAAGATTGCCTCACAACCTATATAATAGCAAGCAGTTATGTGAACTGCCGATTTATCATTTTGGCTAGGGTTCATCCATCTTACACAATACTTGTTTATCGTTCACACTCTGAAAACCAACCCTCTGCTCTTCACATAAATACCGTATCAGGATAATGGGCAATTCGCATCTTCTATACAAGGCGCTGTCTCCTCAGAAAACCTTCGTTAGACATCGTGAACCTCATTACTGAAGGATTTTACTTAAGACACAGAATAATGCTTAAATCAGGTTTAATTACCCAATTTGGACGAAGCAACATTAAAAAAGAAAGGCAAGATTAAGTCACAGGTGCGCACATTTGAGAAAGTGCCGAGATTTTAAGTGTCATTTTATGCATTTTCTTATAGAGGCTCGGGGGATTATCACTAAAACATCGCGCATGTTTACAAACCAATACCAAAGACTTTATACGCATAAAAATGTTTTTCTATCGATGTTTTCTTTGCGAACGTAAATCGTAAACAATCTTCCATAATGATACATGTATTACAATCAAATGCAATACAAAACCACATGCTTGTATCTCTACGGCAGGTACTTGTGTCGCATTTCAATCGCTGTTAATGTACACTGAAGACGTCGTATTTACTACGTAATATGATGAATACTAATTAAACAATGCTAGCAACGGACCGACTTTTCTACATCGACTTGCTCGCCCAATTTTCCATAAGTATGTCGCTCTTACGCGAAGATTATGAAGAGCACTTGTCGAAGCTATGAAAAGGACATTTTAACTAGCATAATAGGACTAGATCCCGGAAAACACGGGACGGGTCATACATAACCCGGACTGCAATGATATAAATTACTAGGGTTCTTTGTCTGCCGACTGAAGTCCGGTTCAAATACAATCGTATCTTAGGCAGATCTTGCTCGAGCTCCAGCTGTTTATTCGTGCCTGCGGTATAGGCCTCCTCTTTGACCTGATATATTCTGATCTAATGCTTGTAGTAACGCTCTGCTCCGCCTGTTCCGATTCGTCCGTTCACTCTAGTTGCTTTTGAGCTTGCCCCTCCACCTGCTGCCGCTGCCGCTGCCGCCGCCGCCGCCGCCGCCGCCGCCAGTGTTGCTACGGTCACAATAGGGCCTCTGATATATGCTAGGCTACTAGTACAATGATTTGGAGGGAATTAGACATACTCGGACTTCTTACTTAGGTTCACAAATTCAGTATTAAAAAGGGAAACTTACTAAGCGTATAGAAACATGCTTCTTGAAGCGACGTTTACCGACAGTACCAGACGTTAATCATTTAGCTGTTAGTTTTCACTACTGCTAAATTTTGGAGCTTACACTAAAGAGACCAAGGTGACGTCAGGCATTATGGAGCCTTGCCAAACTAGAGCGTGTCGCACTGAGTTAATACGAAACGAGCATTCGCCTAGAAGAGTCGCTCTGGCCATAAAAAGTGCCACTTTGATGGCTGCCTTCGACAGAGATGAGTTTTGGCTACGTGACGCCTAATCTTAATTTCAGTCATTCGAAAGAAGATCAATGATCCGTGGGTTCATAGAATTCGAAAAATAGGGCGCCGCTTCTAACTGAGGTATATTTAAAGGGCTTTGGCGTGCTACCTCCTATGAGCAGTACGGACGCTCGACAGTAGTGTCTTTGCATGCTTGTAGTTCTTGTCAAGAGTATAGAACTTGTTCTTGGCAGACCGACGTGGTAATGCTATTCTTATCAATTTTCGAATAGCTTTTGCCATGGAACGCCGTAAAAGTTCTAGGGAATCTATTCAAGCAGATCTAACATTAGATCACAGACGATTACGTTGGTGCACTGGAGCCATTCATGTATAGCTAAAAGAGACAATTAATATCGCTCCCTAACTTCAGTAACCGTCAAAAATACGTCTGTCCCGTACAAACTGATCCCGTTTGACACGTTAAACTATAGGAGATCAACGATGCTAATCCTGAATGGCACTTACTTTGGTACGCTCGAAAAGTCATTTCAGAATTAATCACGAAACAGTTTCGCTAAAAATGCCTAGGCTTACATGAAAGCTTTTCTTTTTAGTTGCTATTATTCATATCGCATACTTGTGTCCTTTTTAAGGACGTTTAGAAAAACATCACTTATGCGTATTGTAAATTGCAGGGTACATGCGAGTAAATATTGGCCACTGTTATATTGACGATAGCAATAAATGAATGGACACGACGGCGTAAGACAACGAAACCAAGAAACTAGCCCATATTTATCGCTATGTCTTCACTTATCCGCTCAGGCATAGTTTAAACGTAGGTAAAACTTTAGGCAACTTGTCACTTTCGCAGCGATTTCGTTTCGGTTTGACAAGCGTTTACGGCATCGCCATATTTGCCAATAAAACCTTGTTGGGGAAAGTTTCCTTGACACAAGGCGAAACTTACCGGCACCCTAAGGATTATCAATAAATTGATCGGTTTGATTGGTTACAGTATGTAAGCATGGGCATTATTAACGACGTGCACCTGTACATACTGTCTTCACATGAACTTCATACAGGGCGCGAGATCTACATTGAGGATAGTTATTGTCACATTGTTTATTTACAAACTAAATTTAAGTAGAAGCGGACATTTCGATGAGCCTTTTCACAAGTGTTAATAGGATCATTTCCGGTGAGCGTGTTTATTCGATGCAATTTTGTCGGTCCTACACTTGACTTCCCGCCCACGTATAATTCAAGATGCCTTTCTATATACAAACCTTAAGATCATCGACTTAGATATGCTATAGAAATCAACGCATATCTCAATTGCGCTGATGAGCCCCTGGAAAAATTATTGGGGCCAGAATCTCTATCTATCTTGATGCCACCACTTCGATCACGCTCTTACGTGATTGTCATGACGTGGATGAAATATTGCCGTTTCTTGATCTACAAATTCAGCCGTACGCCTAACGAAATTCGTCCGTTCCAACGCAGCTTGCCTTTAATTGAGCCTCGTCGCACTGCTAGTTACACTTCCGTTAATCCTGCTAGTATAAAAACGCGAGAGCCACGGATCACTAGTGAATTCTCCTACAAACGAGCCTCGATGTTAGAAGCTCGAAGATGTTGTTCGTATAGCAAATGCCGGTAAACGGTCCTGGAACAGTCTTCAATTTAATTCGACCAACAGCTCGACGGTTATCGATTTTAAAAAGCCTTATGTTCGCTCGCAGTAGCCCTCAACGACCTGGTCCTTTTCTTTGCCACTACAAAACGACTGTCATGATAGCTCTCGCAATCCTTCGAAGTTTAAATATGCATCTAACTATCTTCGTCAATCGGAACCCACACCTGATAGCGTTTCCCCGACATTTCGTAAATCACGCCATTGTTTTCCTTGCGAAAATAACTGAATAGAACGAGCTGTCAAGTGGTAATCCGTGAGTAAGTCAACATAACCGAAAGACGTCACAGTTGCTGTCTTCTACCTAATGGGACAACTGCAACGCAAAGGTTCTCATTAGAAGAGGGTTCGCATGGACGGCAAGGATTTCTCTATTAGGTTGTTTTTTTTTTCTCTACCGTCTGTTTTTTAAGAACAGAGATGAAATTTTTGCGCAAGACAGTAACAAACAATGCAGTTACCTGTTGATGCTTAGCAACGGTAGAACGAAATAACTCATAAACCGACGCAAGGGGTTACTTACGGTCAATGTTACGATCGAAAAACTTATGCAGCGATGAGTTGATTATGTTTGCAAACAACGTAATAGCTATTAGATTTTATTTTGTTCTTCACTAATGGCTAAGCGCTAGATATTATTGAAGAGATTTCTTTCTGCTCTGCGAGGCTCTCGTTTATCAATTTTTTTAATTTTATCACAAGAATTGACCTCGAACTCCGATTTCAGAGAGGGCTATATTGGATGAAAAAGAAATTTATTTGATACACCAACTTTTTTCCCCTCTGTAAGATATAACACAGGAAATTTGTTCCGAGAGTAAAAGGATATAGGTTAATCTGACGTTTACTTTTTTCAAGAGGAAATTTTCACCGAGCTAGTTAGGTTAGGATGTTTCGGTAAAAGACGACTACGGAATGTCGAAAATGCCGTTTTTGCCACCTGTATACGGGGCCAGAATACGAAATAGGATTATTGTGTACAAATTTAGCAGTATCTCACACTCGGCGACCAATCGAACCGAAACGATTAAATGTTGGTAACAAGGTATCCTTCCCCCGTCGTACAGGTCAATACGACGATTTGAAGCACCACTTTAACCCCTTTCTGGAATAAAGGAGATTTCTTTTATATTGCGGTTAGCGCCATCATAGCCTGCGGTACTAGTATGATAATGCGATACGTCACTATAACAGCATAAGTCCACTTTGTTCTTCTCGAAGTCAAAATCTATTTGTTTGTCTTAATAATAGAAGCCGTCTTAAAGATCTAGCTAA